ATTTACACACTTTACATACTATTTACAAAACCAATTAAGTATAATTATTAACAATGTACCGAGTCATACACTTTTATCTTTATTTAATATATTCTTAATTTACATTTTAATTTTACTTTATATTTTAGAATGTGGGAGCGACAATAAAGCATTTAGCTGAACTTTAGCTTCTCAGTTTTAGCTTTGGTTGAAGATAACTTTTACAACATCAGAAAAACTTGATGTTGTAACGGAAACTATGGGCTCTCTCTTTTGTAGCACTTTACATACGGTTGCTCCTTTATGCTTAGTGAAGATTAAGGAAAACAGTACGACACCGTGGTATAACGAGCACACTCACACCTTAAAGAGAGCAGCCCGGAAAATGGAGTGCAGATGGAAGAAAACAAAACTGGTATTTTGTATTGCATGGAGGGAAAGTACTTCTACTTATAGAAAAGCTCTAAAAACTGCTAGATCTGCTTACATTTAGTCTCTTTTAGAGGAAAATATACACAACCCCAGCATTATTCAAAACAGTGGCTAAATTAACGAAAAATAAAGCATCAACAGGCGCAGACATTTCCCAACAGCACAGAAGTAATGACTTTATGAACTTCTTTACTTCCAAGATTTATACTATTAGAGATAAAATTCTAACCATGCAGCCGTCAGCTACAGTATCGCATCAGACAGTGCACTATAGATCCCCTGAGGAACAATTCCACTCATTCTCTGCTATAGGAGAGGAATAATTGTATAAAATTGTCAAATCATCAAAACCAACAACATGTATGTTAGACCCTATTCTAAGCTACTAAAAGAGGTGTTTCCAGAAGTCATAGATCCTCTTCTGAATATTATTCATCGGAGTGTCTATTTACACTAAGTGCAAAAAGCCCGCCTTGTTGGCAGAGGCAATTTACACTAACTCCACCCACCAATGTGTGATTGGGACAGTTAACACTGAAAAAAGACACTTGTTAAACATCAGTTTCAGTGGCAGATGGGCGCGTGCTTTTCGATGCGATCGACCCGAGTTAGAACCCGCCTTTTGCCGAACTTTTTTTCTCCCTTTTCAAATCTCATATCGCATCGGAAAGGCATTTATTTTCAATAAAAAGAAAGGAAATAACCAAAAAGTTGAAAATAAAGTAATGGGTAGGGTTAGGGTAGGTGTAGGGCTTTATTGTTCCAATAAGGTGGCATCCATTTAATAATTTGAATTAAAATTATAATTTACACTCAATACATTATTATTGCATACTGTTTTATAATGTACTACAATACTGAGGTACTTGCTATTTTAACATAGTGTAAATAGAATCTATAGCTATTTGCACTTTAGTGTAAATAGCATATCATTAAAAAATACTGCTATTTTCACTTACTGTAAATAGCATCTATCGCTATTTGCACTTGGTGTAAATAGCATCTATCGCTGTTTGCACTTAGTGAAAATAGCATATATAGCTATTGCGCTGCCATTATTAATTCATCAATGTCATTATGATATGTCCCAAAATCCTTCAAACTGACTGTTTTCGATCCCGCCTTTTGCCGAACTTTTTTTTTCTCCCTTTTCAAATCTCGTATCACATCGTAAAGGCATTTATTTTCAATACAAATTAAGGAAATAATCAAAACATTGAAAATAAAGTATCGGGTAGGTGTAGGGTGGGCTTTATTGTTCCAATAAGGTGGCATCCATTTAATAATTTGAATTAAAATTATAATTTACACTCAATACATTATTATTGCATACTGTTTTATAATGTACTACAATACTGAGGTACTTGCTATTTTAACATAGTGTAAATAGAATCTATAGCTATTTGCACTTTAGTGTAAATAGCATATCATTAAAAAATACTGCTATTTTCACTTACTGTAAATAGCATCTATCGCTATTTGCACTTGGTGTAAATAGCATCTATCGCTGTTTGCACTTAGTGAAAATAGCATATATAGCTATTGCGCTGCCATTATTAATTCATCAATGTCATTATGATATGTCCCAAAATCCTTCAAACTGACTGTTATTAAGTCTTTCATTAAAAAAACACAAATTTATCCTAGAGAATTAGTTAATTACAGATCAATCTCAAATATCCCTTTCCTGTCAAAACACTAGAAAAGGCAGTATCCTTTCAGCTATGTTCCTTCTTAGAGAGAAATGGTATCTGTGAGGATTTCCAGTCAGGATTTAGGTCGTATCATAGTACTGAGACTGCTTTCATCAGAGTTAAAAATGATCTGCTCTTATCATTTGATCATGGTTGTATTTCTCTATTAGTGCTACTGGATCTTAGCACTGCGTTTAACACTATCGACCACAACATTCTTTTGAGTAGACTACAAAATGATTGGCATTAGTGGAATTGCCTTGGTTTAAATCTTACTTATCTGACCATCATCAATTCATAGCAGAGGTAGCGAGGTATCACATCGATCACAAGTACAGTATGGAGTACCACAAGGCTCAGTACTAGGACCGCTGCTTTTCACAATTTACATGTTACCTTTGGGAGATATGATTAGGAAACATGGTGTTAGCTTTCACTGTTATGCTGATGATACTCAGCTCTATATTTCATACCAATTCACAAAACAGAATGCGGAATGCATAGTTGATATAAAAAAACTGGATAGTAATTTCCTACTGCTAAATTCTGAAAAAACAGAGGTGTTAATTATTGGACCAAAAACATTCACATGTAATAAAATAGAACACTGTCTAACACTTGATGGCTGCTCTGTCAATTCTTCGTCATCAGTTAGGAACCTAGGTGTGGTATTTGATAGCAATCTTTCCTTTGAAAGCCATGTTTCTAGCATTTGTGAAACTGCATTTTTCCATCTTAAAAATATATCTAAATTACAACTTATGCTCTCAATGTCATTAATTCATGCATTCATGACCTCAAGGTTAGATTATTGTAATGCTTTATAGGGTGGTTGCTCTGCGCACTTAATAAACAAACTCCAGCTGGTCCAAAATACAGCAGCTAGAGTTCTTACTAGAACCAGAATGTATGACCATATTAGCCCAGTTCTGTCAACTCTGTACTGGCTCCCTATTGAACATTGTATACATTTTAAAATCTTGCTAATTGCTTATAAAGCACTGAATGGTTTAGCTCTTGAGTACTTGAGTGAGCTCATATCACATTATAGTCCTTCACGTACGTTGCAATTTCAAAACTCTGGCCATTTGATAACATCTAAAATATCAAAATCAACTGCGGGCGGCAGATCTTTTTCCTATTTAGCATCCAAACTCTGGAACAATCTACCTAGCGTTGATCAGCACCTAGAGATGGCCTCTACAGCCCTGAATGTCAGCGGAGACCATGTCAGGTAGATGAGCCCCAGAAACATCACCTGTGAAGACCTCATCAACTAAACGGCCATCGGGACTAGACCACGAGAACCAGATGAGTCCTCTGCACAATCTGACCTGTGTTGCAGCCTGGAATTAAACCACACCATACTGGTTTTGTCTGGCCAGAGGAGAACTGGCCCCTCGACTGAGCCTGGTTTCTCCCAAGGTTTTTTTCTCTATTTCTGTCACTGATGGAGTTTTGGTACCTTGCCACTGTCGCCTTTGGCTTGCTTAGTTGGGGACGCTTAATTTCTGGCAATATTGTCGGCTTGATTGCACAGACACTTATTGGAAGAGAGCTGAACTGGATAATGATGACATCACTGAATCATCAATGAACTGACCTTAACTGAAAAATTTACTGTTTGTTATTGTCCTCTTGCATTATTGACAAACCATTTTCCTGTTTGACACTGTAAAGCTGCTTTGACACAATCTGTATTGTATAAAGCGCTATATACTGTAAATAAAGGTGACTTGACTTAAATTTCATTTTTAATTTTTTTCACAATTGTATTTCGGAAAGTCTACATGGAAGACTGGGAAAAATGCTGGGAACTGTAACAATCACACACACGAAAGGGGTCCTATACAAAATACTTAAAACATTTTACTTACAAAAATTTTTGAAGTGTTAAATGTGTTGATTGATGGGATTCAAAATATGTTAATTCTGAAAAGAAATTTGAAATTCAAAACCATTTAACCATACATTTTAAAGCATCAACCAAAAGCATGTTTGAGTTTTACCTTCCCAACAGTACCACTGGGGGGAGCTCGAAATCAGGGTCTTTCATCCAATCATCATTTGACAACTCTATGATGATATTTGGATTTTCTTCGCTTGCCTCTGTGAGAAGGGTCTGCACACATGTAGAGTCCTCCTTACTTTGTGCTTCTTTAAGAGCCTTAACAAATTCTGATTCAACAGTGTAATCCAATACAATGTCGTCATTAAGTTTCATAACACTTAATAGGGTTTTCCCCTTTCAAACTAAGCCTGAGACTAATAAGTTTCATATGTGGCGCATCTGTTGTTGTTCTCGGTAGTTACATCTAAATATAGACAGATCCGACTGTAAGTTGATCTAAATGATTATAAGACTGGCGCAAGCAGAGTAGGCCTATACTAAATTACACATATTAAACGTATACTAAAGTGGAGCAGTTAAAAGCAAAGAAACGTGGACTAATAAATTGATAATTTTGTATCGCAGTCACAATACAGCCTAATTTGATCTGGTGAGACTTCATGAAATTTTAAATATACAAATGAGCACAAATTAGAACTTCTCCATGTGTAAGCATAGATGTCATGGATAGATAAGATAAGGATCTGATTTAGGAGACAAATAACGGTGGTGTTATGAGAGGTAGATTATAGACAGTGAGAGGATCTGTAGGCATGCACTTCTCACTAGACAATAGTGAGAAGTGCATGCCTACTGTGAGCAGCTGGCTAACAGTATCAGGACAGTCAATCAGGTCTGACCGCACAATATTATGCTGTTCTGAATAGAGCAGTTCAGTGAGCTGCTGTAAGCCTCTAATCTGTCCTATACTGCTTTAACAAAATGCTGAAATGGGTTTCTGAAAAGAGCAACTCTTTAACCTGCGTCAATATACATGCTAAATAGGATTCAAAGTAGTCTCCAAACCTCGCCACAGTTTTGTTTTCCAGCTATAGCATTCAAAATAATAGTAACAGGCCAACTATTCCACGATTCTCAGAGCGTTTGGTGGCGTCGTTTGCTCTCCAGTCCAGCAGGTGTCAGTGCGGAATTGCAGAGGCAGAGCAGCAGCGGGTTTGTTTCCCTTAGCAGTTAGCATATGAGGCTCCTGTAAAAGATGCCCGTGTCTGTCATGATGGCTGAACTTGATGAAAAGCTGCTGTTGCAGTTTGAAACTCAAGAGTTGGAGGTAAAAACAGACATTAAGATTTATTTATTAATGCCTTTATTCCGCGGATGTATGTTATCTGCTAAACTGCTACAGTATCTTGGCTGTCAGCTGAACAACTCTAACGTTAGTCATGTAAAGACAACTCTAGACATCAATATAAGATAAATATTAACTTATTGATGTTATTGCGGAATGTAACTTGTGAGTTATTGTCTATGAAGTTTTGTGTGTAATGTTAGTAATGATTTTCCTTGTGCACGTGTTTATTGTTATTGTATAACAGGCATGTTTGTCTGACTGTTTTTAATGTAAATTGTCATATTCATCTCTTTAATATTCGCCATTTGCATAATTTTGTAAACATGTTACCTTGTATCCTAGGCTCCTGGTGGTATTGCTACGCCTCAAGTGTATTCCCAGTTACTAGTTCTGTATCTCCTGCACAATGACCTGTGAGTGTGTTATATGTATAATGTTAATTCATATTTATATTATCAGTTGATTCTGTCATAACAATAATTTTCTTTATGCAGGAATAATGCCAGATACCTTTGGAAACGGATACCACATGCAATCAAAACAGTGAGTTTTATGTTTTCTTCCAATTAGTCTAACATAAAGCAAAATTAGTTTCAGGTGTCTGATACAGATTTTAATTACAGGCAAACCCAGAGCTGGCCGCTATATGGGCTGTTGGACAGCGTATCTGGCAGCGAGACTTTCCAGGGATCTACGCTACTATTGCTGCTTACCAGTGGTCTGAAAGCATTCTCCCTGTGATGGAAGCTTTAAGAGGTACTGAGATCGTGCGGTTTGGGGTTTATGCTGTATTTTATGCTGTATTCCTGAAATGAGATCTATAATGAAGTGGGATAGAAGGGCCCTGAAATTTTCGTCTGCTCTGTGGTTTTTCGTATCAGAGAAAGGAAAAATTGAAATCGCATCATATGACCCCTTTAAACACATCCTCGTTATGAAGTGGCATTTAAGAGATGGTAGGGTCACCATGCTTGGCAAAGTGGAATAAAAGCATTAATTTTAAGTATTTATTTTGTCATAATTATGACAGAGCTGCTTGTTTTCAAACTTTTTTTTTATTAACAGAAACTGGGACTGTTGATATGTTGAATTAATTAACCACAATTCATTTTGTACCTCCAGAAGATTTAAGAACTGAATGTTCTATAATAAAAACAACTACTACAACTACTGTACTGACAGAAAATAAAAATAAATATGATTTCAGTTTACATGTGTATATATATATATATATATATATATAATACATATTTATTTATAGTATACATATTATACATATTTATAGTTGTTTTAGTATTTTAATTCAGATTGTATTTTTATTATTTTATGTTAATAATAATGAGTAATGAAATAGATGTTTCAGTCCATAATGTATTCTCAGTGCATCAGTAAATGATAAATTACAAAGGTAAAGTTACTTTGATATTTTCAGCATGATAGTTTCTAATTTTATACAGTGTTCCTCTTTAAATTTAGTTGAGCTTTACATTGAGGTTGATCTGTTTGTGTGTAAATATAGCTCTCAATCAGGCAACTGCTTTTATTTAGTAGTATGTTAACCTCAATGATAGGAAATTATAATTTTCTGAGAATTTAAGATATTTATTGATTAATAAGTGGGGTTAGAAAATAACAATGGCATCAACTGGCATTAAATTAAAATGTTGGACAAATAAGGGTAATATGCATAAAAAAAAAAACAAGAAAAGAAAGAAAAATTTCCTCTTCAGCTCTGTTTCCGTGTGTACTGGGTTAAAGGAGAGATCTAATTATACGCTTAGCATTGCTAAACAAATTCCTAGACCGAGTCAGTCTAGAATGTTCCGTGTGCTTCCATCCCTGTTTTTTGTCTTTATAATTAACTACATGGCTAAATTAGTTTGGTTGGAAATTTGAATGTTTTAGTGAGAGAGAAAGAATGAAAATACAGGTTTTATATTTCTTGTAAAACAAGACATTTTACAATTCACTCTTGTCAAATAACCTCTACTTCAAGTTAATTACTGTCAGATTTAGTTAGATTTTAAAGTATACTTTGTACATGACATGTTATGTGTGGTTTTGTGTGATTATCTTTCTATTTCACAAGCATAAAATGTGTTTAGTCACTATTGAATGTGGATGGATGTGCAAGAATTTTTTTTTAAAATTAATTAAAAATAATAGTTTAAGAAATTTGTGCTGGTAAATGGCACGTATCTTGCTCCCAGATTCCATTTCAAGTGGTTCATGACTAAACTTAGCTCAGGCATTAACTTAGCATATTCATAGGCCAAGTGTGAATACTTTGAATGATGACTGTTTGCAGAGACAATTAAAGTCTGAAGTTACTTTATCATTAAAGTGCTACATTTTGTTGTATCATTTTGTTGTTGGAAAGTAAGATAGCAAAAGTTATTTTGCAATCTCGTTGATATTTAATATTGTATCTTTAGGGATCATGCTAAAAGCCTTCATTTGATCCCCACAAGCCAGCACCTGACCCACCCAGGCCAAGGATAGGTTAAAAATAACCCTTTCTATGTGTTCATGGGTTCCCTATGTACTGTGTTTTAAGACATCAGCAGTTGTTGTTTTTTTTAAAAACAAAGAACATTTGAACAAGAAATTATTTTGAAAAATCACACATTTTGAATGATTGTGGGTTGTTCCTCAAAGTTAAATATATCTTCAAAAATACTATCCTCAGAATACTAGGAAAATAAAAAGAATGGTGGAGGTACGTGTATATTCTTTTTTTATTTTTTCAGTATCTGGACATTTATTTAAGGTGGCAAGTCAAAATGAAGTTCTTACAATTTAGTGTTTTCTTCTTGTGAAAAATATTGTAATCTGTGCAGGACAGAAATGAGCAATTAAAATTCAGAGGGTGTTTTGTAACAGACAGGGTTTGTTTTGTTGACATGAAACTTGTTTGTCCCCCCAGAAATATTTCAACATTGAAATCTCACTGTACAGGAAAGGGTAGGGGTGTTATGGTATCATCGTGACACAACACATGGGTTTAAAGGGGAGGGATTTTGCTTCTCCAAAAAATGGATCTTGAAAACAAATGGAAAGGAATGTGGGCTCTGATTGGTTGGAGGTATGGGCTGTCACCCACTGGCTGAGGGTAGTATAAAAACCAGGGCCACTTTGCCCCAGAACAGATCTGACAACTACAAAGAATCATTTACTGCTGTGCCGCAGCTTATTTTTATCTTTTGGGAGACAGCCATCGAATTTATACAGCAAAAGGCTACAAAGCGACCATTGACATGGATATTCAGCGAACTTCCTCTTTGTTGGGGTCTCCTGGCTCCATGGAGAGCCTTGAGAAACAGCTAAGCTGTCCAATTTGTCTGGACATGTTCACCAAACCAGTGGTGATCCTGCCCTGTCAACATAACCTGTGTCGAGGATGTGCTAGTGATCTTTATGACTCTCGAAACCCTTATCGTTTCTCCGGTGGTGTCTTCCGGTGCCCTACTTGCCGTTTTGAAGTGGTTCTTGATCGTCATGGCGTACATGGACTTCAGAGAAATCTTCTAGTTGAGAACATAATTGACATATACAAACAGCAGCAGGAAGGTGGAGGTGGAGGCAGCACCACAGAAACATCGATAAAACCCAAAAGCTCCAAGGAGCCAATGTGCCAAGAGCACGAGGATGAGACGATCAACATCTACTGCGTGACTCACCAAATTCCCACTTGCTCCATGTGTAAGGTATTTGGCCAACATAAAGACTGTGAGGTGTCACCACTTGCTAGTGTCTATCAAGCTCAAAAAGGAGAGCTGAGTAATGCCATCGATGCTCTTGTAGCAGTGAATGGTCGCCTTCAAGCATTGCTTAACCAGATGGAGGAGGCCTGCACAGCTGTTCAGGACAATGCTCAACATGCTAAGCAAAGGCTTGGTGAATGCTTCGATTCTCTGTATGCAGCCTTGGAAGAGCGTAAGGGTGCCCTCTTGGAACGTATAAGCAAGGAGCAGGATGAGAAAATAGCTGCCCTCAGGAGTCTGGCCAGGCGTTATGGGGATCGTCTTCAGGCAGCCACAGAGTTAACAGACACGGCAGTGCAGGCGCTGGAGCAAAGCGGTGCTGCAGAGTTCCTGCTGGCCTCCAAGAACCTGATCTCCCAGACAAAGGATGTGGCGAAGAGCTCACTGGCTGAAGAAAGGCCTGAGCCAGGCTTTGAAAGAATGGACCATTTCACTCTGGATACAGAACAAGTGGAGACTTTGTTGTCCAAGATGGACTTTGGAGGAGACGATGATGAGGAATTTGAAGATGCTGAAGATCAGGAAGAGGAGTGAATGGGTTGCACTGAAGGAAGAGTGTCTTAGAGGGTAAATAGGATGTGATGAAGGACAAGAAGATCAAACAAGGACAGTGACTATGAGAAAGAAGAGGGTTTAATGTTTGTATATCACTGCTAAGCAGTGTCAGCATTTCAACTTGTATGATTATAAGAATATTTCAGAAAAACTAGGTGCCATTTTTATACTTTTTATAATGTAGTTGCTGTTGTCACTTTAGAACTTATCTTCCTACTTTTACATGTTTTACTCCAGCAATAGATCATTGTTGTCTCATTTTACAATATGTAGTTCTGTATGTTCAGTTTACTCAAATGTGGACTTAATGCTTTATTAAATAAAATATTCAAATTTATTGAGATTTGAGTTTATTTCATGAGATATACAGTACAAATCGAATGACACATTTAAGGATCATTTTAAACGCAGTATTTCGGAACTGTTTACAAGTAAACTCTTCTCTGGTTAAAGGCACATGCTATTTTTAAAAGGTAAGAGGATGAGATATGACTGGGGGACCGAATACCAGAATAGGACAGATGGACAGCACTGCCTTGCTCAGCAGCTCTTGCTATTCATGATTGCGAGTCAAGGCGAGAGAGAAATCAGGAACTGGGAGTCAGGTTGGCTAGCATGTATTCACAAGCACTAAAAATAAACAAGCAACATGCAAAAAAATCACTGTAAATCCTCCAAATGTAACTTGTTGCTGGTGAGGTGCTAAGACCAGACATATTTCACACATCGAGTGAATCTGAACTATTTTCTGTAGAGGGCATCCTTGTATAGCATGTTCTTATCTGTGTGTAATTTCCAAATGGCGGTCCTGTAGTCTCTGCTGACCTCCCTGGTGTTGCATACAAGTAGCTGTTGGTAAACACTGTTGCTAAGAGAGTTGCTATTTATTTAGTTCAAGGACTGAAAAGTGTTTGGAAGTGTCTAAGGTTTCAAGACATACTTATTTTCCTTTGTTTGCTATAATGGAGTTTAAGTAATTTTCCAAAACCAAATTTTATCTCTGTTTTTCTCGTATTTACTGTAAGGTCCCCTGGGTTAATGGATAATGTCACACTTTTAATTCCTTTAAGTTTCTTGAAGTAGTAGAAGTCTGCTTCAGTAATCAGAAGTGTGACAAATACATTGACAGACACCAAGGCTGAATTTATTTGATTATTTGATGGTAATATTGTGAACCATTATAACAATTTAAAATGACTATTTAAATATATTTTGAAATATAAATTATTCCTGTGATGGCAAAGCCAAATTTTCAGCAGTCATTACTGCAGTCTTCAGTGTCACATGATCCTTCAGAAATTCTAAAATGTTGATTTGGTGTTTAAGAAGTATTTCTTATTATCAGTGTTAAAAACAGCTGCTTTATAATTCTGTGTATATTTTTTCTAAAAACAACAAACAAAAAAATCTTACTGACCCCAAACTTTTGAACAGTATAGTGTAACTCTGCATGTTCTTGATCATCTGTAAATAGAGCATTTGGAAACTGTATTAATGGATAATGTCACACTTTTAATTCCTTTAAGTTTCTTGAAGTAGTAGAAGTCTGCTTCAGTAATCAGAAGTGTGACAAATACATTGACAGACACCAAGGCTGAATTTATTTGATTATTTGATGGTAATATTGTGAACCATTATAACAATTTAAAATGACTATTTAAATATATTTTGAAATATAAATTATTCCTGTGATGGCAAAGCCAAATTTTCAGCAGTCATTACTGCAGTCTTCAGTGTCACATGATCCTTCAGAAATTCTAAAATGTTGATTTGGTGTTTAAGAAGTATTTCTTATTATCAGTGTTAAAAACAGCTGCTTTATAATTCTGTGTATATTTTTTCTAAAAACAACAAACAAAAAAATCTTACTGACCCCAAACTTTTGAACAGTATAGTAGTGTAACTCTGCATTTTCTTGATCATCTGTAAATAGAGCATTTGGAAACTGTAAACTTGCTTTTACGTGTTGCTGCTTTCAAATGGGTGTGAATTGCTGTCATTATAAAGTTTAACTTTATAAACTTCGAAAAGCCCAGGAGAAACCAAGGCAGAAAACATATAACACCAGTTACTGCTATTTAACTTTGTTTTGGAGCACTCAAATTGAGTTACGGTACTCTGCGTTTGTTACTGTCCATTAAAGTCTGCCGCTTTTAAATTACAGTGTAACTTGTGTACTTTCATACATCTGTCACTGAAGCACTTAACCAAATGAATGAGATAGATTGCGATCTACCAAACTGCTCCATATAACATAGCACTGTAAACAAGCAAAGACTAGATAACTTGGCATCAATAAGTAATCGTAAATAATCTTTAATTTTTTTTTCTTTTTATAATGCAGATTATTCATTCAGTGGCAGCCTGTCAGTCTGGGGCTGCTCACTTCTAGGTGTACGAGTGTGTACTTGAATGCCATGACAGTGTAGCATGATCACACATAAAATCAGTAGTAACAGTTCTCAATTAAATCCATATCCTACCTTTTCTTGTAACCCGATAAAATTCATGGCAATGAACGCCATCAGAGATGTTTAATCCACAAGCATTCTGAGCATTATTCCTACTTATTGGTGTTCACATCAATCCACAAGTCGTCCTTTTAGGTTAGGCTGTTTTCATTCAAATCAATGTAAAACCAATTAGGCTACGTCTGTGTCATCCTTTTACGTTAGTGAACAAATCATAGTGATGCAAATAAATTGGTTGCAAAACGGTATGTTTAACTGTTTGTCTGGTTGTTACGGTCAGAAAAACAATTAATACGGTCACATTACTATATGTTATAGCCTATGAGATAGCCCATGATCACTAGATTTTATACAGGTGTTACGAGTGCTGGGCGGTATGACCAAAAATTGATATCACGGTATTTTTCAAAATTATACCGGTTTCACGGTACATGACGGTATTTTTTTTTCATGCATGACCGGGTGTTAACCATATTTTCTACTGATCGAGAGAGGAAATACTGCAGTATATTGACTTAGCATGCCCTATTTTACTGTCATGATGAGTGAATATTGTCAAAAATATTGTCCCCTTTTAATACATGTTAACCATGAGTCACTCTCATTTATAATCGCGGCATCGTCTGATAAAATCAACATGCATCTACACTAAAGAGCGGCTATGCGGTTGTTTTGGCTATATTACTTTTTTGTCTCATGCAGCACACTGCCTGCGTCTGAGTAACAAACTAAAAAAAACAACAAACAAAAAAGTGCATGTGATATTAACAGACGAACTACACTCATATTTATAATTCCAAACAATCAGTAAGCGACAGGTGCTAGGAAACGCTGTTTTGTACTCATTTATTGACGAGTCGGCTGCGCTGCTTCTCTGCCGCTCACTGCACAGAACAGACGCCGAGAGAGATGACACTTCTCCTGGAAAGTCAGACCTCGCGTTCGCAGGACAGCACTGGCGAAATCTTCCAACTGAACCATAGCTAAGGTTTATACAAAAAAAGTCGCTAGGTTTGTCAGTATGAATATTCGATGGGAAAAAGCCGCTAAAAGGGTCTGAAAGTTGCTAAATCTAGTGCTAAAGTCGCGCTCGTGTGTGTGAGACGCGGGAGCTGATGGCAGGGGGCGGTGGATATTTGTGGCGGTCAATGTGGATATTGTGGATGAGTTCTTCTGTGTCATCACGTTCTATTAGTTCTACAGCTTCAGTTTCGGAACTTTCACGCTTAGTAACACATACAGCTGTTCCCTCACCACAGTGCACCAGTGAAAAGGGACCCCTTTCAAACAGTGTCGCGTTCCGAACGTTGTTTCAGTGACATATACCGGTATTGCGGTATTTTAAAAATTCATATCATAACAAAAATAAACACCGGTATTCGGTATGAACCGGTATACCGCCCAGCACTAGGTGTTACTATAATGATTTTGTAAGTGGTGATCAGCAACCAGATATTGATAATGTGGAAGTTACTGCCTTTTGCCTTGGCGTGACTTCTCACTTTTTGCAGACAATGTGAAGGCAGAGTACAGTAACTTCAAAATATTGGTAAAAATCAAGTTTGAGCTCAAGATTTTTTTGTAGATAATTTTCATTACTAAAACATCTAATTGGCAGATTTCCAGTGTCCTACCTATAATTAATTTGGCTAGACAAATAAAAATCTTAAGTCATTTTTCTCAGTTCCACACTCTTAACGAGTTGAGGTCTTTTGCCTTTGTATTGCAGCACTGGTTACTGAAAGAAAAAAAAAATGATTTAGTGCACTTTCTAAAGGTTTACGATACCACTTTCACTGTCACCAGTAAATTTTTTTTACTTGTCCTTGCTTGGGTGTGTGCAAGCATGGTGCAAAGTTTTCAGAATATAGAGTGAAAGGGAAGAGCTTGCAGGTGTGTTGGGAGATTGCCACCTTTTGAAAAATCTTTTTGTTTTTCTCTTGTGCTTTGTGTTTCTTGTAGAGTCCACCCGTAGGAGGGCATATGGGCTAGTAGCACAAGCTTACACCTCTATCAGTGCAGAGGACTTTGCTGCCTTTGTGGGATACTCTGTAGAAGAGGCGGTCAAAGGTACATAATCCGAGACACTGAGTGCTGCAAAATATTTGAGATTTTTTGGATTAGGGATTAAATAATTGATATAATATGTACATATTTATCTATGGATTTTCTCTACTTTTCCTACCAAATTATTATTTTTTTTAGCTTATTCTGTCTATTCCATAAATATTTCATATATTTTGAAAAAATACATTTTAAACAAGCCTACATTTCTTTTGGAGTACTTTGACATGTGTTTGGTCATCATTAGAATAAAAGTAATTTCCTTTGGCTGTGATTTCTTGATATTCTGCAAAAGCCACTTGTATTGCTGAGATCTGAACAACCCTCTATTGTCTTTATGTAAATGTCTGTTTCTCTTTCATTTAAGGTGTAGTTAGTCATGGGTGGCAGGCAGATCCAAACACCAGGATGATCATGCCACAGAAACCAGGTGGGGGCACTGTTTCACTTCTTATTACCAATAAGAACAGATGTTTTTTCCCCCCCTCCACTCTATGATTCATTCCTTCATGAGGTTTCATTTAGGGCCCCTCCTCTGTACAAAGAGCTTGTTCCAATGAGTTAACGGTTCTGCATGTTTTTTTTTTTTACAACAAACATGTGAATTGGTAGTCTCGCGTAGCCAGACCTTCAGACTGTTGGCTGAAGGTCTGGAATCCATGGCAGCTTTCATTGGATGATTTACTGCATAAGGATAAAGTATTTTTAAAAATATGTTTTACATATCCACAATTTCTACCCAATAAAATATTTTAGAGCTTGGCATAACTAGAAAAATGAATATTAATTGTAAAAATGACCATAGAGTTACATGATTTTGTTAATTTACATGACTTTTCCAGGTCTAGAAATCTCACTTTTAAAATTATTTTATGTTTTTCAAGACTGGGGGAATCCTGGATATAAATACCTTGATTTTTAGTTGTTTAGGTTTGTTTTAATTCCTGTCTTGCCTTATTTTAAGTCATCTTGAGGCCTCCCTAGAAGTTGAGAACTGTGGTTCAATATATGGAGTGAGTCGCCCTCTCATGGTCAGAGAGAGAGTTGACAAAAAAGGGATTGGGATTTGAGTAGTCTCCCGTAGCCAGACCTTCAGATTGACGGCTGAAGTTCTGGAATACATGGCAGCTTTCATTGGCCAAAGCCCGCCCATGAGGCCGTTTGATCGACATGTCAAACAACCAATCACAGCTCGTTTCGTTCAGCGTCACGTTTCGGGGTGTGGAAATGTCGCCACAATAACAGACCAGTGTGTAAAACTCTCTGATGTATTTTAAAGATTCTATGCCACGAACTTTAAATATTTCACATACTTTTGAAAATCCAGTGTTAAGTTGATCCTGATAAGCGCTCGTCGTCACAGTTGTAAACACGACGGCTTTCTTTCGTGAGGGGGTTTGGCGTCATGGCCTCTTTGTTTCCAGGCAGAACATTAAAGAACGCGACACGCGTCTCCCGGAAATCCTGTATAATCTAACCAATCCGATGACGACCTCAAAACTCCTGAAGTGTTTCCACTTTTGTGTGCCATATGCATCAGACGTTCAGCCAGCAGTCCGTGGGCGTGACGTCTGAGGCTGAGACTAGTGAATTGGTGACTTCACTCCGACTCCACTTTCATCCTGCTCATGTTTGTTCCTGATTGGCTCTCAAAGTTTCTTAAAGATTCCTTCACTTTGTAAACTACAAGAATTTCATTAGTTTTTGGTCACCTTATGTTCATCGTTCTGAATTTTGCTGTTCTTTGTGTTGTGTGTTTTAGTGCACACAGCTTTTTGTGTTTGTCTATAACCGTTGAGAACTGTTTTTACGAGACGTTTATTCCAAAGGAACAGGAACAAGCAGCACCTGGATTTCTGCATAGGCCTCGTGAGACTGTGCAGATGTCTGTAATGCATTTAAATAACTGATGATTGAGAAATGATTCCCAGTACTGATGACCTGCAGCTTTCACTAAAAGAAGCTGATGTTTATTAGTTCAACACAGTTGCCATGACATTTTTCTTACTTGCAGAATGTGTTGTATCTGTAACAGACTCCCTTGCACACATATTCCTGCGCTTGTTCTATGCACAGCTTTGTTTACATTCATATGTCAATGTGTTATAGAGCAGACCGTAGAGGACTTGAAGGAATCCCCTCTTCTCTCATGTTTCTCTTCTGCCTTCCTTCCTCTCTCTCCAGATCCGCCCCCGGTCTCTCTAGTTCCAAACGAACAACAGCTGGCCAGACTTACCGACTACGTGGCTTTTCTTGAGAACTGATAAGCACTCCACCCTCTTCCACCCTCTTCCTCACCACCTCTCAGATACTCAGTTTTATGAAAGAAAACTCCTGCTTCAGTGATGGAGCCGCCATATTTCTTTTTTTCTGTTTTGCTTCTTGAACTTGTCAACCACAGTGATGTAGGACAGTTTCCAAATTGTTTTACTTGTACAACTTCCGCATCTACTTTGGAGTATGACATTGCTGTCAATATTGTAAATTATTGTTTTTCAGCATAAATACTTCACTGTATGCACATATTGTTCAGGCTGTTTTGATGTTACAGGTCAAAATTTGATCCTTAAGTAATTTCATACCAACAAAGATGATGGTTCATGATGGTTAAGACTTCCATTTACAACTGTTGTACAAAATCACTCATCAGAATAAATCTCCACATTTGTCCAGATGTGTAATTACATTTTTGTTATATACATTTTGGCACATCAGTTAATCAGAATGGCTTCTTCTTGCAATATTTAACACTGGTCTCATTATTGAGACCAATGCATTCATTATGTTGATGCAGTGAAAAAAAAAGTTGTATTTTTAACCACTAAAATGTTTCAAACAACCTTGTTATCACTAGCAAAGGTATTGTTTAACAGTGCAAACACACGACAGCTTAAAGCAGCTTATTTTGGGAGGCACACAGTTGTATTAAGATGTTTTCCACTGTCTGACAAGTGTTTTGTTGACAGTGCATCTTTGTATGTCTGCTATTCAGATGTTTTGCTCTGCCTCCTCGGTTTCTCACGCAGTGGTTTTGAAAAAGGAGAGGAAGCGTACCAGCTGTTGGCCACTGTCACATCCTTTCAGCTTTAGAATAAAAGTGCGAGCCATATGCGCTGAAACAATGGGTACATATGGTACTGTGAGAATATTAACCTCATCCATTTTAGTGTATGTTTGTCTTTGAATTTTATCTTCCATATTGCATTTGCTCATCATTTTACATTTTGAGGTTGCACCTGCCTGGTCCTATCCGGTCTTTGACTTAGCAGATATTATTATTATGGATTTGTGTTTAGGTTTCTGATTGACGTGAGGTTTAGTGTCTGTCCCAAGGGCATAATAGTCACTGGGAAAGAGCTATATGTCTGGCACTAGGCAAGTGCACTGTTTGCCCTTATCTGGGATCTGCTTGCACTGTGCTAAAACTGTGCAGGTAACCTCAGGACATGCTTGTCATAAACTCCAGGTTTGGTCTGAATACGATAAAGCATTTAGGAGATATAGCCAAGTATGTCAACTTTGGCGAGCTTGTCATCAAATTCATTTGTGCGTCATTCGAGAACGGTTGGGTCTATGTAAAAGCTTTTGATAACTTTTTGTTAGGACCGTCTGAAGATGGTCTGTATCAATTTTGGTGAAAATTAGATGAGCCGTCTAGGATGTTTTTTTTTATTTACATAATGTCAATTATTTAATGAACGGGTTGACAGCAGAGGTTCTAAAGGCAAAGTTTTTCAGAATGAGGGAATCTAACGTGATGAATATTCTGTGTATGTGTGAAAGATTGCATGAGATAAGTGGAGTAAAACGTGATAGCGCCACCTGGTGGCCAATTTATTTTAAATTTATCAGAGACCTTTTAGGGCCATGAGTCAAACAGGCACACAGAGTTTCATTCCAATCGACCTCTGTTAACCTTGTCTAAAGGGTGCTCAAAATTGATTGGCAAGTGGCGGCCATGTTTTTTCAAGATACACCAATGCCTTCCTAGATATCGGTGGCACCTTGGATAAAGACACTGTATGCCAAATTTCAAGACAATCAGCCTAACCTTTACATAGTTACAGCCATTTTCATGTTTTTTTTCCTGTATATAGCGCCACCGAGTGGTCAAACTCCATTTTTTTTTTACCAAAGATTCAGCTCATTCATATGTGTTCTGAGTTTGGTGAAAATATCTCAATCCATTCAAAAGTTATAGCCATTTTAGTAAAAGTGGCCCCACCCACTTCAAACGTTTTTGTGTCCTGTTGCGACCGACAATGAAACTTCAACTTCGTTTTGATGACTTTTGCTATTCAGACTCCATAGAACTGTTCTGCACTGGTTTGGTTCCGATTGAGTGAAAAGCCTAGGACTAGTTTGCAAAAGTATGTTTTAGACGAAAAATTCAAAATGGTGGGAAAATTTTCATTACAGGAATGAAACAAATGAATTTGTTTGTCCCGAGCCAAGGATTCCAATGATATACACTATACACAATGATAGATAGGTTCAGGAGTTGTGGCCAAAAATTAGCAAAATTCTTGTTTTTATTGCTGTAGTGCCCCTTATTGGCTGGTTGGCGTGAGTCTTTGCCAATGTCTCCCCAAATTGAGCTCTACCATCTGGCCAAGTTTCAAGTCTCTAGGCCTATACGATTTGGTCTGCATGATCCGTTTTACAGCAGAATAATAATAATAATGGTAAAAATCCTTACAATTACAATTAGGTTTCAACGCTTTGTGCTTGAAACCCTAAAAAAAAAAGTTGTTGGAATGTTGACAGATGCCTGATTTGGTTGGGCATGCATTTCCTTTGTGCTTTAGTGTGACCAGGACTGGCAGGACTTCCTTTGTAGTTTGAAACCTGACACTCCTGAGAGGTGAATGCATTAAGCTAAAACCTGCAAACCTTGTTTTAATTATCGCTTAGACCAGCATAATTTCCTTCAATTTTATATTATATCATACATTCTTAGCTGTTTGATCAAGAGCAAAAAAAAAAAAAAACCTTCAAAGGAATAAATGCAGACCAGCTGAACTGAAGTCTTTGACATCGGGAACAGTCAGAGGTCACAGACATAGGCTTTACTGGAGTAGCTGGGGTGTGTGTGTGTGTGTGTGTGAAACTGCTCAACCATTTGCCAGACCAAATGAAACTGATATCCACTCCTAAACTTTAAAAGTTCATGTTTTTTGCTTGCTTTTTTTTATTCTTCTTGACAAATGATAAATCAGCATTGTTAGGATAGTGTTTTTCTTTGCTTTCAAATAAGCACTCCTGTGGTATTTTTACAAAAGCTAGATCTTACCTCTTCTTGGACAGATGTTTGTAAAGTGCTAATGGCCATTCCTAATGAGTTTGCCTTTTCCAAGGGTTAAGGGTTATGTCTGTATCCCATCATGCTACATGCCACAGATGTGACGTGCAGTAAAGGTGAGCAGATTTTAAATCCTTATCTTGCTTCTACCTAACTTATACACTTCATATTTTTGTTTCTCTTGAAATTCTAAGAATGAATCTTTGGGTAATTTTTAAGCATTTTCTGCTGTTGCTACAGAAAAAGTGTTAAAATGGTGAAACGGCTTTGTCTCTTTGTGCGGAACTGTAATATCTCACATATTCTGCACTGTAAGTGTTGCCATCCTTTAAATCTGGACTTCTCTCCAGTACTGTTGTTCTGTTTATGGACGGAGAGTGTTATGAACCATTGAGGAAGAAGGTTATTTGTCAAAACACATAGTAATAGATGTATTGAATTTATATAAACAAAACTCCTGCCACATGTGAAGGGAAAATGTTTCCATGTGGGTGGATGAGTCATAGGTTGCCCCCCCCCAAACCTATTAAGTATTAAAACAGTCTGTGTGCTTGTGTGAGATGGAGAAGTAGTGTTTTAAAATAGCTAAATATTATGAAGATGTTTGTTCTGACTAATTTATGGTGTAAAACTATGTAAAATCTTTGAAGATTTTACAGTTAATGGGTGCCGATGATTCAGGGGAGGGGTAGACGCTTGTGATTAAAGAATGTGCAATGTTTACAACCTCATGCAGTTTAAAGAGTGACTCATTTAATTTTTCCCATTTGGAATTCCCTAATTTTAGCTTATTTTTTGTGTATTTCACATGCCTTGTTAGTCCATAAAAAGTCAGAGGTGGAAAACATTGCTTTGTCATTATGTCTCTGTATGTAAACTACGGAAGCGGTCAGACCAACATGAACACCAGCACACCACACATGAAGGTGGCATCCAAATACAAAACACACTGCAGTCCATATAGCAAACGTTTAGGTTCTTCTCTGTGGTGAGATGAGCTCACGAGGATTAAAAAACTATCCTTTTAAGGTAGTCAAACAAACTGCAGCTGCTTTTTATTTGGCTCCAAGTTGTTGTGCATTTTAGTTCCAGTATTTTAATCTTAGATAAAAAAGAAAAAGATTTATCTTCTTTCTACAAATTTCTATTGTCATTGTTTTGCTTTGTGCAGTGGTTTAGCTGTCATCCAAGTTTGTATCCCATTCTTAATTTATTGATTTCTGTCTTCTACATTCTATGTTTGTTGAAGTTGTTCAGCTGTCTGGGTGATCCAAATAATTCACACGACCTGTGTTTTTTGATCACAAGTTGCATGGACACGGTGTAATTATCAACTGTGCTGCCTGGACAGTTGACCTGAAGCCCACCCAACAGGAAAAATCAAGTTTACCAGCCTTTTCCAGGGCCCCCCAGTTATTATACGCTGTCAAACAGTCTAATTTGGAGTTTAAGAATTGTGATTTTCTTATTAGGCCTACAACATACCATAACATATATTGTATGTGTATATATATACAGTGGGTACGGAAAGTATTCAGACCCCCTTAAATTTTTCACTCTTTGTTATATTGCAGCCATTTGCTAAAATCATTTAAGTTAATACTGACTGCATCATTTATTAATATTATTCAATAAGGTCAAAGACAGTAGAGCATTTTGTACTGTGTACACGCATACATATGTGTGTGTGTGTGTGTATATATATATATATATATATATTAGTACAAATGTGCATAATGAAGTTACAAATATGCAACTTTTTAAGAGCAGATAAAGTGTAAAAAGTCAAAGACAGACTGCCCCTGTCAGCACTATTATTAAGCAGCATTTATTGTTCAGCAGAGTGTTGGGTGACCGCAAAAGAAAAACTAATGAGAATAATGAGACATCTCATTTTCAACACTTTAAACATTACTGAGAAATTGCTTGTTATTTCAACCTGTCACTACTCTACAAAATTTAGAGTACTTTTCCATGGGCTTCAAACCTTAACAGGTTAACCTAATGTGCAGGCCAATAAATTACATAATGCTCCCTAGAAGCTGAATTTTGTCAGGTTATGGAAAGGCAGATGTGCTAACCACTCAGCCAAAGCAGCCAGAGTTCTCATCGAAATTAGTTTCAATTATTTGCTTTTTACTTTTTCATTGCAATCACTGATATAGAGTGGGTCATTTAGAATAATCAGTAGCACAAGTAAGTGGATATTTCAAAATGTTTAACCAGAAATGTCCATACTTGCATGTGAAAAATACAGATATCTATGGAGAAATCATTCTGGCCTGCTTCACCCTGTCCAAGGTCGTCTTGGACCAGAGAATGGGAGCATTCGGTGTCTCATTGCTGGCTGACTTGCATTTTTTTCCCACACCCAAAACGGAGGCAGATGAGATGCATCAGGATATTACTAGTCAGTGGAAAAAACCCTTTCCCATCTTTCATCTGGAGCAGGGGATGTCTGTGGGTTGAGGGCTAATCAGTGTTCTGGGGGTAGACGTCTGAAGATGAGTGTGGGATACCATTTTGGTTATGCTGAGGTGGACATAATGGTGCTGTTCACTAAATAAATGGACAGTTATGTACAGCTTTGTAAAAAAATCTAAATATTTATCTTTACTTTTTAAATATTATAAAATGAATTTAACAATAACCTAGCTGTAAATATTAAACTTTGGTTCATATTATACAATTCTGGCAGCAGATTCCTCAGAAAGACTGATAGTGATGTACAGCATGCCACGGGAGCCTAAATGCTCAATTTATTCTCTTCTAAACAGCAAAAATGCAATGTTTACATCCACGGCTTGATGCATAATGTTTGTACACTCGTGAGTAATGTTTATTACAGTATAATTAAGGTACTTTGTCTTTCAGAAAAGAAGCAAACAAGCAATCTGCTGTCATTTTTTGCATTCAAACATATGTTTATAATAATTATGATCAAAGACTGTTTCCCCCCAAAACATTTCGTCATTCAGAGGGAAAGGAAATGAGGTAAGGCCAAAACGGTAATCTTATTTTTTTCATTTATTTATCATTTATATATATATATATATATATTTATTTATGTTCTAACCTTCATGTTGATTGACAAACATCAAACACATTTTGAACTTTTGGGTAAATACAATTTACCAATGCAATTTTCTTTTCTATAAAATGTATCAAATTAGTAACTACAATTATTAGATTAAAATTCATTGTCAAAATTGTTTTACACTTGAAACTTGTTTTACATCTTGAATCTTCTGAACATACAACATTTGTTAGTGCCTCTTCACACCAAACACAAAGCAAAAATGCGTATCAAATTGCAGATGAGTCACGTTACACTAAGGTGCTAATAACCTTGAGACAGATACGGTGTCAGTGAAATGCTTGGCTCCCACGATCAGACAAATGGAGACAGTTTTCCCCTTGTGACACTGCTTGCAGATAAATTAATTGGACTTATGGTGAGCCTTTTCATGATTTGAAATATATGGTTGGTTTTTGTTTTTAATGTACCCGTGGAAAGTCAAAATGCCATTACAATGAGTCATGCAATGAGCCTGGGATAAACTCGAGGCAAAAAGTCACAGAGCAAAGGAGCTTGAACTTCTCATCTGAATTAGATTGAAAAGAACCAGACAAACTATATGAATACTCTGCATATATCTGCATTATCATGTAAGACCTGTAATAAAAGGATGCAGGAGAGTGCCAAAATCTTCTGAGAAACATCAATGCAATACACTGTTGATTTGGCACTGTTAACAGTACATTTTTTCATTCCAGTAGTACACAAGAAACAATAACTATAATCTAGATCCCTTAACCCAGCCCAAAACCTAAACTAAACTACCTTGCTAACTATTAATAAGCAGCACATAAGGAGTTTACTGAGGGAAAACTCAGTTAATATTCAATATGTGTTCCCTAATCTAAAGTGTTACCAAACATACATTAGGATGTGGAGAACATCATCTTGCCATCACAGTGAATCATTGCATAAAACCAGGAATAATAAAAACAAAATCTTAAAACTGGTCAAATACAACAGCATTGAAAAAATTTGGCAATGAGCTCTGCAGGAAACTATGACTTAAGCACTGATGCATTTCTCATACAGTAAACCTCAGCATGGGAAGGGGGCCACAGGGACTGCTGCAAACCCCACACAGCCATGTGCAGATTGTTCAGGATTGAACATGATAATGCGTATATGCTGCTGTGATGGATTTACAAACAGACTGGCAGAGAAAAATGCAACACGTGTGCATGACAAATCAGAACGAGACATTTTGTAAAGTGTTTAAGATGTGTGGATTAACATAGAGTATAAGAATGGAAAAATGGATAATTCATGCATTATTGACACTTTTCCATTTTTACACTTTTCCATTTTAAGCAATTTATAATAACTTTATTTTGTGAATATGAAAGACTGGAACTGGTTTTGGAACGTTTCATGAGGACGTGCTACTATGAAAACTTATTTCTAAACTGTAATCTTTTTAACGAGGGTCACATGGAGTTCACAGTGAAATGTTTCTCAAAGTTTGTTATCTCTACTTGCCATAGAACTTGATTTATTACATGTCTGTTGATGAAGCTGCCTGTCCTCCCCAAAGAGTCTTGATTTTTTGGTGATTTCCAGTGTGATAAAAAAAAATGCAACTGTTCGCAGGAGAGAGAGGAAATTACAGATTTGATGGAACAGAGGAAATCAGAAGCTTAACTCTTTTTTTAATACACACACTTTCAACAAACTGATTAATTTTCATCTTATTTTTCAAAGTCTGAACCATGCATGTGTCAAGTTGTTTATGTGTGCGGGTTAAAAGAAAGAGGCAATCTTGTTATTGTAACTCTAAAAAATAAGCTGTCAATGCAGTATGTCCTGAATGAAACACTATGCTTTCATTTGAGCATGCAAAGGTCACATCTGTTTATTTATTTATTTTTTCTCTCAGCAGTACTCGGAGTGAATGGTCAGTGAATGAGTCAGAAAATGATATTCTTCTCAGCATGACTCACAGTAAGAGTAAAATCACTTTTATATGTGATACGCATCTTATGCATAACAAAAAGTAAAAAAGAAAGCACACTCAAAATCAAAGTTTTATATAAAGACTAATTTATTTATATCTGTCCATTTTCAAGTGAAATACAAAGTTTAGAAAAAACCCACCACCCCAAAAAAATACTGTTAAAAATACATTCCAATTGCTTTTTGAAACCAAAACTTGTGTGTAAGGCAATGGTTCCAAAAATGCATTTTTATTTAAAGAAATGACTTTTATCAAACATCAAAATAACATTTGTTTGGAGTTTTTAGAGTCAGTGGAGATCTCCAGCGGTATGACCAGAAAGAGCAATTTAAATTCTTCCTCTCAAGCAGTTGAGAGGAAAAAAAAGAGACTGCAGTAATTTAGCAAAATTTACTAAAATGGAACTAAATTGTCATGAACTTGTCTCATAACTACAAAGATGTATTGATATGTTTTAAACAACGTATTTCCACAAGCAAAACACATGATTAAAACAGCATAACATTTAAAAACAATTGCCCTGGACATTTACAGTGGGTGTTATTCAAACCCACACACACAAGAAAAATAAAACAATTAAAAAAAGAAAGAAACTGAATGTAGCACCAGCACAAAACAAAGAAACTTGTTCTGCTTTTTTCTTATGTGGAAAATACTACTTCAAGGTTGTCTTTGGATCAATCCTCTGGTAAGGTCCAGTGCAGGCGTCTTGGCTGTGGCTGTGCTTCTTGTTTTAGGTGCTATATCCTCTGAGTGCTGTCAGTGGTTAGCTTACAGTCTTCATTAGTTCCTATGTTTTAACCGCAGCGATGATCCCTTGTTTAACAGGTGCTGTCAAAAACAAACAATGTTAAAGTAATGCCTTCTTTATCAATCAATCCTTACACTAAAATCACATTGACATGCTATTTTTAGAAGTAAACACACCTGCTTTTCCACAAGCCTTCTCACACTCATCTTGTGTATCAAAGCGATTCTGGTTCCCTCCACATCCTCCGTACCAGAAGCGGGTACAGTTTCCAAGCGGGTCATAATGCCATTTAAGCACAAATTTAGCACAGGAGCCCTCTTCTTTTGGTAGCTTGCAGATATCCACACTGGAGTGCAGGGCTGCTGTTAGAGAGAGTAGTGAGGATGAGAAAAATGTCCGAATTTTAATTGAATATCTAATTATTTGCAAAAGCTTTTCAGATAATTGCATACTGATAATTGCAGTGAAGTTTGAAAAAAAATGGCAGGGTTGTTTTGTTAATTAGATGGCTTCAGGGTTTATCATCTCTGAACACTGGCATTTCATAGGTTATGTCATCTTCAACATGATTCCTTGCAACAACATATTTTGCCCTAAAAATTGCTATAGCTATATAAATCTTTCAGTTCACTTGAAAGATAAACAACATTTACACTATGATTTAGACGCAATTATTTCCAGGAATCATTCAAAAGTGGTATGTGGTAAAGTATTGTTCACTAAGGAAAGTGAGTTACATGACTTGCCAAGGTCTTTGGTAAGAAAACAGTTCTTGACCTTCACATGGGCTATATTTTGCACATTATTATCCATGAAAGGATGTTTTCTTTTTGTCTGTAAACCAATGCACATACATCAGGCATTATCCAAGTTGAATAACAACAGTACAGTCTTCAGTATACTGTAGCTGCTTACTGCTAAATTGAACTTGTTTCATAATAAATTAACTTTACACAGTTGTTGAGCTGAACCAACACTGAACTTACTTGGAGCTGAATAATGACACAATTGTCTTGCTACAACTGCCATAGCAGAATTTGGATTTGCCTATTTTGTGAAGTTTGCATCATTGACTCCGTTCATTTCCTGTTTAATATTGTGAAACAGCTTTGAAACAATTTCTCTATTGTTATAAACCAATATAAATATAAAGGTGACTTGACATCACTACAAATAATTTCTTCTGAATTTAAAATGTATTGCTCTCAGTACAACATTTTTTAAAAGTGGTCCTGTAACAGAATTTAAACACTCCATGACTGTTGAAAAACACTGAAGAAAAGGTTTCTAGAGGTTACCGTAACCGGTGGACTGACCTGGAGCTGGTGCTGGGGGGAGAACTGCTTTGACATGCTCTTCACTTGCTTTAGGTTCAGCCACTGTGGTAGTCAGAAAAAAAGTTATTTTTTTCAAGAATTTTCCTATCTTTCATTTTATTGTACTTCCTTTTAAGGGTGCTTGGTCGTAGCCACACGTAGCCAAGTCTCTAGGCTAGTAATACAACAAAGTTTATATTTGTGTGCTGGAGAGTTAGTAAGTGAATCATACAATTATATCTACATCACTGTACCATTGCGCAAGGCACTGCATTTAGTGTGCTGTAAATGCTTTATATTAAATTAACCATCTAATTGATAACTGATCTTACTTTGTAGCTATAGATTGTTTCAGTTTCATCATGTTTTGGGATTTAAGAGTTTAAGACCTTGAGTACTGCAACCTGTATACTCAGCTTTTATAGATTTTATTAATTCATAATTTTATTGTTCAATCGTGAAGTTTTTAAAAATAGAAATAACAGGACAAATCAGTCACTAAAGTGATCGGGTCAAGGGGTCAAAGGGCGCAAATACCTGTCTTCATGCAGTGTTTGAGGCAGTCAGCCTCAGTCTCAAACCTATTGTCATTTCCTCCACAACCTCCATACCAGAACTGTGTACAGAATCCATTCTTTCTGTTAAAGTACCACTTAGCTTGGTAATTTTTGCATGGCAGTCCATTGTCAAAGTCAAGTGAACATGGGTCCATAAGATTGTTAACTGAAACATGCAAACAAACAGAGACAAACATAGAGGGTTTACCATGAAAGAGGAAAGACAAAGACAGTTAGTGTTGTCAGTAAAATGAACATATAGTCAGTAAAAATTAGGTGATTATAGCTCATTTAAAGGAATTAACTAATTATTTTAATGGGTTAGCTGAATTAAAAGATTATGCAAATTGTGTCATTTTCAAATCAAGCTTGAATTCAAACTGTAATGCTAAAACTTTGTTGTATGTTATATCTGCAAAGGCAGTCAAAACACATATAGTTTGCTATTTACAAAGGCATATGACCTTTTTATATATCTTTGGATCATACAGTAATAGGACTAAAGTTTCTAAATGCATTCATTAGTATTATCAGCACTGACAGTCCAAATACCTGGTCACTGGACCAAAGTACCACAAGAAAAAACAGTGACTTTGTTTGCAAAAGCACTTTGAAACACACACACACACACACACACAGACACACACACACACACACGCCTTTTCCAGTTCATTTGATTTATGTGCTAGTACTGCAGGTATGTGCATCTGCAGGTAATTACTGTATTGCCAGTCTCATTAACTGTGTGCTGTGGGCATGTCACAAATCTCTGCTTCATAACCCCTATAGAGTAAACCTTTTAACCTTTTATGTGACACAACCATTTTCCCCCTTCAAAGTAAGTATTAAGTATCAAGTCAAACGATGGCTAGTTCAATAAAATTTAGGTTAGCTTATTAGTTTTTGTAGATGCATTTATGTTAAGTCAAACTTCCCTGAATTAAATAGGGTTCCCTATTACCAGCTACTAAAAACAATGATCTCATTGTTTTGCAATGCCGAAGGCCTCTGTCCTAACAGAATTAAGAAATGATCATTTACAGTACAGATTCTCAAAAACCCCTTTAGCATTTTTAATATCTCACTTGTAAATTTACAAATGTATCTATTATTCTTTATCTTTTAAACAGTCAGTACAAATTATATTGTATATGCAGACATTTGATTTTTGACTTTTCTAAAAAAAACAAGAAACCCCTAATGACATGTTTTTTTAATATATATACCAAAGCACCCACAATGCTGCTTTCATGTATGATTTAAACAAGTTGTTTTCCAAAAAATCTAATGGAAAACTTGTCTGCACACAAACAAGTAAATGAAAAACTGAGCTGATGCATGTGCATGCAACTTTTCAAATTCAGCTATTTTTAACATGCAAATATCCTTTTGCTGATATAGACTGTAGGGTTAATCCTCAGCATTACTTACTTATTTCTGGTTTACTTAAGGGTGCAGAGGACACAATCCCCATTGCTTCACTCGTAACCTTCTGTTCTACCGTTTCTGTTCAAAAAGACCAGATCTCAGTTAGATCTCACAAAGCTCATTGTTTTCAGCCAACATTAATGCTTTCATACTTACACTGTGTAATACATGAAAGTATTAAAAGAAGGGCCATCAAAATAAATATGGGAGAATACATTAAGAATAAATTAGATCTGTGCACATAGCTCTGTTATACTACAGTATATCATATGTGACCCTGGACCACAAAACCAGTCATAAGGGTACATTTTTCGAAATTGAGATTTATACATCATCTGGAAGCTGAATAAATAAGTTTGTTAGGATAGGACAATATTTGGCCGAGATACAACTATTTGAAAATCTGGAATCTGAGGGTGCAAAAAAATCTAAATATTGAGAAAATCGCCTTTAAAGTTGTCCAAATGAAGTTCTTAGCAATGCATATTACTAATCAAAAATTAAGTTTTAATATATTTACTGTAGGAAATTTACAAAATATCTTCATGGAACATGATCTTTACTTAATATCCTAATGGTTTTTGGCATAAAAGAAAAATCAATAATTTTGACCCATACAATGTAATTTTTGGCTATTGCTACAAATATACCCCAGCGACTTAAGACTGGTTTTGTGGTCCAGGGTCACAAATGTGCAAAAAAAAAAAAAATCTGTGAAGCAAATTCTCTTTCACTTACTTGTTTCTGGTTTACTCAATGGTGCAGTGGGCACAATCCCCATCACGTCATTTACAGTAAGGACCTTCAGATGTGCTGATTCTGTTCAGAAGAATGAATATAAAGTTAAAGCCATCCTGCAATGACCAACATTAAAAAAACAGCTCATGAATGAATGAATGAACAAATGAATAAATAGTCACTGATTCACTCTATTAATGTTGAAAAGATCCAATTTTAATGATCAGGGAACATGAAATATGCTCTTTAGCAGAACATCCAGCCTGTTTTTTGCACTAGAAAATAAGAACTAGGGCTGACCATCTTCAAAAAGAAGAAAAAAGCACCAAAAGTAGTCCACTCTGTAAGTCAAAACCCAATAACTTTGTGAGAAACGGACCATAAACTGCTATTCGCTGAAAATCTTATCTTCCAGCACAGATCGCAAATCACCTTCACTAACCAAATAAGGTTTAAGCGTAGTTTCTTCTCCTTTTGTGGAGTTAAGTACACTGTTTTCTGATGTATGCAAATGAGGAAGTTCTTGTATCATCTATCATAACAGTACCACAAACAATTTAAATAAATTCTAAATTAATCAATGTATGGAAAAGAACAGTCTGGACATTCTGCTAAATAACTAGTTGTGTGTTCCACTGAAATATAAAAAGTCATACTGCTTCATAGTGAAGTAGATGACAGGTTTTTTTTTTTTAGCTGTTCATTTAATACTTTTTCATTTCATTACTTATTAATTCATACTTATAATCGCAACTACACAACATGTTCCTTGAATTCATAATCTCACAGAGTAATTTATGTGAAAAAACATGAGCTTACTTGTGGGAACAATGCCTTTGTAGGTACTGGCAACATGACCATTGACACTGTGAGTGTTGACCACTACGTGATAGGTTTCGACTGCCTCCAACTCAGAAATGGAGAGATGGCTGCCGGTCACATTTTTCCTTAGCACTAGACTATGATCCTTCAGGCGAGTCACAGTAACCTCATGGGTGGCCTTTGAATCACCACTCAACCACTGTAGGGCAAATCCACTGGAGGTGACATTAACCAGATGCATTTTCTCCATACCTGTTTCTGGACACAAACATACACACAGTGTGAGCAGATTTCAACCCCAAACATTTCTCTACAAACAAATACCCACAACGATGCATACACTCAGTACCAATATGTTTTCTGTCATGAACCTCCTGCTGTCCATGATGCTTCTGGTGTTTCCTGGAAAAAGACACCATAGCAACAGTCACACAACGTATTAACTCAATATTAATGTGAATTAAATTATTTAGCAACTCATACGGTCTTGTGAATTGTTTTTGGTCTAAAATGCAACATCTAAAATGCACATACTGTATGCGTTTTACAGAACACATACTCACTCTGTTTGTGGCAAACTGAATGGGAATTTGTGTGGCTGGTCACTCTGATGCCACTGACACTTCTTAGAGACTTCAGGTGACAAGTAGAAAGCATTTTCAACTATACAGAAAGAATGAAGAAACTGTCAATAACAGTTCCCGGAGAAAACCTGGTATGAAATGACAGGCTAATACATCAATGGACGTTTTGAGCATGTTAAAAAAAATCCTCTGACTTACGGCCAAGGTACTTGGGCAACAGTCTGGCAAATGTCTGAATATGGTCGTCATAGAAGCCTGAAGGTCTATCCACCCTCTTAAAGAATACATCTGAAGGCTCACTTGCCACTTGGGTCAGGACACGGACATCACCTGCACTGAACAGCTTTCCAACTGCCATCACCACTATGAAGTATCCTTTGCATTTAACTTCAGTGGCAGCCCTTATTATCCTCTCCTCATGCAGTTCAACTGGTCCAGTCACCAACAGAACTAATACCTTCAAATGGCGGGGATGTGGCACCTTCTCAAACACATGCTCAACAGTGCCTTCAAGAGCATCTGCAAGGGCGCGTCCTCCTTCCAGCTGGTGCACCTTATCCTGTAGGAAGCTTTGGACACTGTTTGGTGACTTGTGATCTGTCAAACCAAAGGTCACGCTGATGGGAATGCCACTGCCATTGTGCAAGTATTCATAAGGTGCATGCTGAACAAGTGCTACTCGAGCATGATGGGTAGTGCTGGCCGGCTCAGGGGACATCTCTAGCTGTTCTGTCATTAAAGCCACATATTGCTTTATCTCTGTGAAGACAGAGGGCCAGGTGCTCTCTGAACTATCAAGAATGAAGGCCATGTCGATGTCCAAGTCAGTTGTGGGATCCCTTCGGTCTCGGACTCCACGCGCAGGGATATAATCACACATCTGATCCGGGGCACAGAAGTCTGGAAAAAAAATGTTAAAGAAGAAAACTGACATTCAGACGTTCTCTGTTGCTATTGTTTTGCCATTTTAAAAAGTTTGGTGGCCTTTCTTGTTTGCTGAACTCTGTTATGCATGATGACAGTTTTACCCCGGCAGATATGGCAGGTCATGATCTTCTTGATGCCATTGTTGTATTCAGGACTTCCAGGTGAGGGTAGGACGATAATCTGGGCTAAAGCAGTGTTGTTAAGCTGAAACAGTAAATGTAACACTTAAAGGTATGCTTTCTTTCATGCCAAATGCAATCAGCTGTGTCAGGTTTTAACTTAATTTACTACTGGTTCACTAAAATTAAACCTGCCAGTTTGTGTATAGTTAATTACAGTTAATTTGTCCAAGTGTTTGACATTTCCCTCCATTTAACTTCAAACACTGCAAATTGATCCGGAAGTTACCTCAGTGAAGGTATTAAGTTACTTAACACATTATTCAAAATCACAGTTGTTGTTCATATGCCAATTTTTATTGATATATGAACCAATAATTTGACATTTTTAAGCCCAACAAAATATTAGGGCACAAAACTAATGTTTTGTGTTATGAAGTGTACTAATGTTTTGTGTTATAATGTTATGACGTTCAGTTCAAAGACTTCAAGCCTATATATTGGGGCGATGAAACAACTACTGTCACAAGTTGTTTTCTAAGCATCAACTGCTGTGATGAGTTGACTTTCTAAACTGATGTGTAAGGACAAAGGACAGCTGATGAAACCACAGAGGAGTGAGGAAGCATACTGCATGAATAAAAACCTTTACCAACAGTAATGCAAATGGAAATCTTACAGACACAAATTACAATATTTGCCCTTCTACTGCCCCTACCTGCAAGGCTCTTGTGAGTTGGCGATCTTCACGGTTAAGGAGGAATACAGAGGAAATTCCTGCATCGTAGAGGCGTAGAGCAGCAGCACTGAATTCTTGTGTGGTTGTAACAGGGCCGTTGACAAAGAAAACAGCAACCTTGCGCACAAGGAACCCACTGCGAACTCTTTTGAACGTGTTCTGTGCGACAAAGTTCATGGCTGTCTCCAAGCTGCGCTGCTTACGGGTCTGCTGAGTCTGGAGCCCTTGAACTCGCTCAACAAGTGCTCGCTTCTTTTGGGTATCTGAAAAGCGGATCTCAGTAGTCACCTCATTGTTGTAGAGCGCTAGAGCAACACGAGCACCTCGGGGACAGTTGCTCTCAGCAACAGTGATGTCACTGACCAGGCGGAGAACAGTGTCCCGCATGTTGTTGAAAGCAGAGCGTGATACACCATCTGATGCATCCAGGGCAAAGGCCAACTCAGTAGGGTATAGGGGACATTCCTGAGCACCTGAGGAATTAGAAACTCAAAAATGAAAAAGCTATGCAATGAGTGCTTTAAAGAGGTCATATGATGCGATTTCAAGTTTTCCTTTCTCTTTGGAGTGTTACAAGCTGATTGTGCATAGATAAGATCCCTGAAGTTGCAAAGACTAAAGTCTCAAAACCAAAGAGATATTCTTTATCAAAGTTAAGACTCTGCCACGCCCCCCTAAAACGGCTCATTCTAACACGCCCCCACATATCTACCACACTATATGGAAATATTTGCATAATGCCACCCAAATGTTCACGCAAAGAAAGAAGGCATGGTTTCAGTAACAGCAGTTAGTGTTGAAGCAGCCATGTCAAGGAGACGCTGTGTGTTTCTAGGCGAAAGCAAAAGCACTTTATTTGGCCTTCCGAAAGTAGATGCATTTAGGAATCTTTAAGATCACTTACAACAGAACAGCAATGCATTTTATAGACGACCGTTTCGTGAACCTAGGAGAGGAGGTAATTCTGACTTTGCTATGACAATCTGGCACTTCTGAATCAGCTACTGTAAGTATGTTTTGCTATTAGTTTAAGTATTTGCTATTGACCGTTCAAATGCAGAGTTTTGCGCATCATGTCTGTGTGTGTGTGAGAGAGAGAGAGAGAGACAGCGTCACATCAAAGTGGAGTCAGCTGTCTTAACCGCGGCTTGTGTACTGCATCATTACTGTGTCTGTTCCCCTTTCGGGCTTGAACTGATGGTAAAACTAATGACATTATTTACTGTCTTTACATTTATTTTGAAAGATGAAGCTCGCGATTATGGTAAGGGGCGTTACATTTCCGACGAGTGCTTGCGATGTTCGGCCAATCACAATGCACTGGGTCAGCTGGCCAATCAGAGCAGACTGCGCTTGTCGGAAGGAGGGGCTTTGTAGAAAACGAAGCGTTTGAGAGAGGCGGGGCATAGAGGACCTACAATAATGTACAGTATTTGAAAAATAATGTGTTTTTTGAACATTAAAGCATGTCAACATATTCTGTTACACCAAATACACAAAATAATGATCTTTAAAAAAGCATCGTATGACCCCTTTAAACTGTGACCCTAAAAGTACAGTGCAAATGCAGAGATTGTTCACTATTCACTTACCATAGCAGCAGGCTAAAAAAAAGAGAGACAAAAAATACAGTAAGATTTCACAACCTAAAAGTGTAACTATAAGAAAAGCATATAAAGATATAACTCAAACTACAAGAAAGACAGTATAATTAAACATTGGACAATCACTATACTTACGACAGTTATCCCTAATTTTCTTGACCAGATCACATGGCTGTGAGGACAAAAAAAAAGAAGAAAAAAAGAAAAATGTTTTGACATTAATGTTCCAAGCATGTAAGTAGGACTAAACAATAAAGACACTTGTACAGTGAAAGAAAGGAAAAAGTACATACCACCGGACCAGTTCCTCTGGATCCTTTTCGGCCCTGTTTTTGACAACAGACAAAAAAACACTTTCTCAACAGCTGAACACAGCTGGGTAGAGCAATCTGGATTTATTCCACTGAGCAGTTTTGTGTGCCAAACTAATGTCTGTCACTAGTTAAAAAAAATTGTAACAGCTTGAGTAAATCAAAGCTCATGATTTGCAGAGAGAATTGTAGACTTTGTAAGAAAGAACATCCCTAGTCATGCCTCAATTTAGTCCCCTTAATGCAAGTCAACATTCCTGTATTTAAAGATTTGTAACAAAGTTTTTTTTTTTTTTTTTAACTTTGAGTAAATCAAAGCTCATGATTTGCAGAGAGAATTGTAGACTTTGTAAGAAAGAACATCCCTAGTCATGCCTCAATTTAGTCCCCTTAATGCAAGTCAACATTCCTGTATTTAAAGATTTGTAACAAAGTTTTTTTTTTTTTTTTTTTTAACTTTTAAAGCATTTTATATTAAAGTATGGTGCTTACATAGGGCCCTGGGTATCCAATATCTCCCTTTTGTCCAGGTCCACCAGGTTCCCCTGAGGTACCCTACACAAACATATTATCAGTGATTACCAGCAGTGTGGATATGAAGACCGTATTAAAAGTCGTTCAATCAACATTACTCACCCTCTGGCCATTGTTTCCCCTAGGTCCAGGTCCTCCCTTTGAACCAGGGTCACCCGCTTCAACCTTTGAATCAATTCAGTTTTAACATTTAGTTAATTCCATTGTTTTGCACAGCAGAATCTGAAGGGAGTGCATTAGTAGAAAAGGTACTGTATATACTGTAAAACATTCAAGGCTGCAGACAACTTCAGTAATCTCACCTTTGGACCTGGGAAACCAGGGAAACCTTCATCACCCTAAAATAACATTAAAGAGTGTTCAGTGTAAAATACATTTTGATATGTATGTACTCAGCAAAAAATTTAATAAAAGAAGTAAATTAAAGAAGTAAAAATTAAAAAAGAAGAAATAAATATCCACTCACATTGAACTGCTTTTAAGAAAATTTCTTAAAAATGTGTAAACATTTGTATGCACATAAAAAGATTCAACAACTGAGACATAAACTGAACAGGTTTCTCAGACATTTGATGAACAGAAATGGAATAATGAGTCCCTCAACAAAGGGTGGTCTATATCAAAAGTTGCAGTGAGTATCTTATGCGGCCACCAGCTGCATTAAGTACTACAGTGCAATCCTTGTGGACTGCACCAGATTTGCCAGTTCTTGCTGTGAGATGTTACTCCATTTGTCCACCAAGACAAGCTCTCGAACACGTTTGAGGGTTACACGTGGTTTGCCACTGCACAGACCTTCAACTGTCCTTCCTGTGTCCCTGTCTTAGGTATCTTACATTACGGACATTGCAGTGTATTGCTCTGGCCATCGCTTAGTTTATCTGAAGTCCTCATGCCTCCCTGCAGCAGAACTATTGCATGTTCAAGCAGGTGAGCAGGGACCCTTGGAAGGTCTCGTTAATGTTTCAAGTTATTGTAACTGTGACTTTAATTGCCTACCGCCTGTAAATTCTGGGATGTTCCACAGGTGCATGTGCTATTTATGGTTAATTGAAAAAAGCATGAAAAACATTGTTTAAACTTTATACACACACTCACCTTTCTTCCTTTGGGACCAGGTATACCAAACCCATCTCGTCCATCCTCACCCTGTATACACAGGAAACTCCTTAGTTTGATCTAGGCTAAATTGCTGATATACAGTAGAGTGATCTGATAAATTAACAATGTGCTATATGTTTTAATATGGAAGTAATGTTTATAATCATCCAATCTATTTGTGAATGTCTCATATAATAATGCTGATGGACATTATCTGTGTCAATGTATGAAATGTATTTGGTATGACTGGTGCAGACTATGACTCCTCCCTTACAGGCTCCCCACGGGGTCCCAAGGGTCCAACGACACCTTTAGGTCCTGGCTCCCCTGGTTCACCCTTTAGAGTGAACGAGAAAAAGTGAATCATAGTTTTATAAATAATAAGGTATAAAAGGTGCAATGGTTATACATTTAATAGCTGAAAGAGCACCCTACTTCTCATACTAATGCATTGAAACAAAAATGTAACATCATTTCCTCTTCCCAAATTGTACAAATACAAACTCCCCAGAAGCTTTGCTTTAAGTTGACATTAAGATGTTTTCTTTAAAAAATTGCTTAAGCTTGCCAATGGTAACTGGAACATGAGAGTGCAACTGCTTGGCAATGAATTGATAAATGTTGCTTAAGTAACCAGTACCTTTCGGCCAACGGCTCCTCTTCTACCCTTTTCTCCAGCAGGTCCTGGCACTCCTCCTGGCCCCTAAAATATATATATATATATAAAATAAGAGGAATGCTTTCCTCATATAAACCAGGATCTTTTTCTTTTATTAAGTCATAAACCAAAAAAATGTATTGTGTGTGTGTGTGTGTGTGTGTGAGTATTAAACATTAGGTATTAAACATTTTGTCTGCACACAAATTGTCATAATCATTTATTAAATCATTGTTTTAGTAGCAGAGAAAACAAGAAAAAGAACTTCTCTTACCCTTGGACCAGGGTTTCCATCCTCTCCTCTAATACCAGGTGCTCCAATTGGTCCAGCGGGACCCTTAATCAAGTACAGATAAACAACATTTATATTATGTATTATATATTTATATTCGATAATAATATTGAACATTTTATTGCAAGGCAGGTGTGCAAATTTGTGCATACAAAATAAATAAATGTACCCAGACTGTAAACCAGATTTAACCATTATGTATGCATGTACAACATGTCATAGGACCTGTCTTGTTTTTTCACAACTGATTAATTTACCCGAGATCCTCCAATTCCTGTCTCTCCTGGTAAACCATCACTTCCAGGCCTTCCAGGAGCACCCTAAAAATGCAACAGGGCCATTAATAAATTCAACAAATTCAAATAAATTCAATACATTTAATAAACTGTTGAACCCATAAACAACAGCTTTTAATGGATCTCTATGTGTGTTAAAATAATGTTTATGTTCATTAATGGCATGAAATGTCTACTCACAGCTTGGCCAGGAGGCCCTCTTCTACCATCAGGGCCCTTTTTCAAAAGAGAAGATGAATAAGATTATGAACAGAACATCTGTCATTCAACATTTCATGGATCTTACACATAACATTTCAAATAATGTATTGCCATAGATAACATGGCTTAAACCTGAGATAAATTCTAATCTGAACAGTTATCAAAGCCAAATTAAAAAATTCGTTTTATCTCATATCAGTGTACACATTTCTTTAGACTCTTTAGATTCTAAACATTTGATTGAGCTGTTTTGGGGCTTTAAGAGATTATTTATGAACTGATTGAAATAATCTTAGCCTATTCAGCACTGTGGGGTAAGTTCGAAAAGACATTCTCTTTGGTTGAGGAAGCATACCCGTCTGCCTGGTTCACCAGGACCTCCCTTATTTCCATCCACGCCTGGCTCTCCCTAAAGAAAACACTTTAATGAACTTCAAGATCGCATTACAGTTGTGGATTTTATTCACATTGACACAAACACAGATTTAATAGCACACAATAACAAAATGTGTAGTAACTACTACTATAGCTTGGCAAAGTCTTACAGTTTGACCATGGTCAGAGACAAAAATTACATGTAATGAGAAATAATAGTTTAATCGAATGAGAAATAATTAATAAAACAACTTCTATGATTTTTTAAATGAGATTATTATAGTGCAGAACTATAAATGAGGCTGAGATGAAGCTTGGTACTTTACAATATTGATCCATGAACATGTGACCATACCGGTGGGCCAGCATCGCCTGGATCCCCTTTTGGACCCCTCTGGTTGTTGTCTCTTCCGGGGATGCCCTAAAACAACAACAACAGCATCAACCTTACTTATTGAAGGAAGATATACTCATTCTAAATTAAGTCAAATCCTTGAGTAAATAAGAGAGCAGACATATTTGAATATTTATATAATACATACTGGATCACCACGGATTCCAGTCTGACCAACATCTCCTGCCTGGCCTTTGGCCCCTTTAGGCCCCTATAGACACATAAAAAAGATCAGATAAACCATATTTATTTCTTTTGAATATATTCCACATATCTTAACCCATGACTATATTCTACATGACTTACCATTTGGCCAGGGTTTCCTCTATCTCCTGGAGGGCCAGCAACACCACTTGTTCCCTGAAAGACAACAACAAATTTTAATTGGCATACACAAAGACTTGCACAAACCATTGTAAAACTGGTCATTGATACAAAATGATAAATAGCTGACCTCCTCTCCATTGATTCCATCTAAACCAATCTCTCCGATTTCACCCTAAAAGAAAGCAAATGGTATCAATTAAACATATACTTATATTGACATTTAAATGTTACTGTTAATCATGGTAATATATTATTATTTATTATGAAATTATTGCAAAAGGTTATTCTTACCTTTTCACCATTGTATCCTCGAGATCCCTAAATAAAAGAAAAACAAATACATTGGATTAGTCACGAAATATATTTTAACCATAAAGTGCCCTCGTAAGTGAACTTACTTTAACACCTCTTTGACCTGGACATCCTTGGAATCCTTGAGTTCCATTTACACCAGGTGGACCTCTCTCTCCCTGAGAAAATATGGATTATCTCAGTCATAAGAAACAAAATGCCACAAGCACAAATGTTGCATTTTTGTTAAAATGACAACAGCGAAGTTTCAGGTTGTTCATGATGAATTCTTATGTTGATGATAAATATGGGGTAGGGAGGGATTTTTATGTATTTGTGAGCAAAATCATTACATAAATAGAAAAGAAACTCCAGTGTTATGGTTTAAATTCAAAAACTTACACATCTGATTATGTAACATGCATTTTATAAGATGCTACCACAACACTGTGCAAAGGTATGTAGAGGATCTGTCTATTTATTAGTGCATGCTGGAAAATAAATGTAACTTTATGTGTAGTGATAAAGTGGGCAATTAGAAACTAGTGAGAAGCTAGATGTTGTGTCACAGACAAAAGTGAGTGAAAAAATACACCTTTTAAATCCTTTTACATATTCATAGTAGATAATTAGTAGATGCTCACCGGACCGCCTTCATCACCAGGATGTCCACTGAAGCCTTCACCACCAGATTGACCCTAGAGACAATCAAACATTGACATGAGCAAACACTGATAAATTTCATAATTTTCACCTGTGTTCTAGCCTAAAATATGTTGTTTCTCGAAGAATGAATTTGACCTTTGATCCAGGAACACCAACAGCTCCTCTGTCCCCTCTCTGGCCATTACACTTGCACGGAACAGAGCAGCATTCCCGCTCAGCAATGTTATCCTTAAAAAAAAAAAAAAAAAAGAGACAACCACAATCATATTAGACAAACATATTCATCTCTTTTTGTTATCCCTACATATAGTACTGTAGGTTATTCCTTAGTTTGCAAATTTAATGTGGACAGTAATGAGTAATGAGGACAATTCTTACCAGTTCTTCCAGAAGTTCATAATCCAAGTCCATGAGGTTGACACGCAGAGGTCGTGTGTACCTAAAGCCACGGCCAAATTCCAAGAGAACTGCATCCTCAAATCGTGGCACTCTCTCCAGGGCAACAAGAATGAAACTACTGACACCTTAAGAAAAAGAGAAATATTAAAATGTGTGTGGTAACATACAGTATTGTGAGATGTCTGAATCATCATCATCATCATCAACAACAAACATTCCAAAAGTACTGGTGAATAGGGAAATAAAGAAACTGAACATACAACCTATAGATATTTGAGTGTAAAGTAATGAAATTCATCAGACATTTTCATATCTATAATCACGATTATTCTTACCAGCTGAACGCATCAGATCAACTCGCTCTTTCAGGATGTTATACTGGGCATCTAATCCATCAGTTAAGTGGATCACAACCTTTATGGGTGTAAAACAGCAATTGATTGTATTAAATACAAATAATTGTTTATAAATATACAGAGATATACAGTACATACAATATATACAATATGGTTAGATTTTGAGGTTAAAATGAAAAAGATGTACCTTGACACTATCTGAAGGCTGACTCTTGAATCTATCAGCATATGCTTTGATTGTCGCACCGTTTAGAACAAAAGGTCCACGGTTTCGGAGGGCCTTAAAGGGCCCAAGAAGCTCTGTGTATCTGTTGGTGAAGTCCAGCTGAACAGGCTCAGAGGCAGAGTCCATCACTAGCATGCCCACTTGTATTGAGGGAACCTGGCCAGAAGTGCAGCTGATGGGCTGCATCTGGGTAATGCGTTGGAGAATAGCATTCACCTTCGTCTCTAATGACCTTTGAGCAGCAAAGATGTTCTGTGAAGCCACATCAAACCCGACAAGAACATCCAACTTGCATTCTGCCAGGGAGGAGAAACAGATGGGAATTAATAAAAATTAAGCGTAAACCTCTGTTCGGAACACTTCAAATGTACTTTCACTTTATTAAAAAAAACTCAAAAACCAAACCTTGTGTAGCATTCTTTACTCCAGTGCACAGTCCTATTCCTTTCACCTCATCATCCAGTGTTTCCAAAATCTGCTCATTCAGTTCAGAGAGCTCTTGGAAGGTGCTGGCTCGGGCCACTGTTGTAGCTTCACTGCCCAAATTATTGAGCTCGTCCTCCGTGTCACCCACCCCAACAGCATAGATGCGCACACCACTGTCTTTGAGAGCTAGTGCCGCTGATTTGCTGTCATCCCTTGACCGTCCACCAGTGACTACCATCAGGATCTGTGGAATTCCCTCATCCTTCCGACTGCCTCTTGCTTTTACAAAGTGTGTTTTCTGAACATGGCGAATGGCATTGCCTGTTTTAATTTCCCGACCTCCCTTGTACTCTGCTCGAGTTATGGCATTGATAATGTCATCCTTATTTTTGTAAGTATTGAGGTAGAACACATCGGTCACATCTGTAGCATAATGTGCTAGACCAATTCGAAGATTGTCTCTCTCAGTGAAGAACAGGTCAATTAAATTGAGAATGAATTCCATAACCTCTTTAAAATTGTCCCTGCCAAGATTGATTGAGCCATCAACCAAAAACACAATGTCAGCAGCCTTGGCCTGTGGGAGTACAGGATCTAGGGGAAATCAGAGAAAATAAATCAGGCTAAACAAACCAACCAACCAATATTTAAGGCCTATTATTATACACCCATCATGTAAAGTATGTCTAACATAACAAAGACATTAAAGCTCCACGTACCTATCTCTTCGAAGTAAGTAGGAGGCTCCTCTATAATTGTTCCATTAAGCCTGGCTATAAATTTGCTCTGTATGTTTGGAAGATTTGGGAATGTAGCCACCTGCAGGATGTCATCAGAAGTGGTAGTAATCTGTTCCAGCTGTCTTGGGTCTGCATTTTCTGTACCAATTCCTATACAATTGATGCGAGAGCCTTTGAGAAGCGGGCCATAAGTAGATACATCAGAGGTTGATCTTCCACCAGTTAGCACAACTAAATGCTGGGAAGCTTGCGCAAGACGTACCCCAGCAGTTGCCTGGAGCTCATTTCGAATGACATACTTTATCGCCTCAGCTAGGTCAGCACCACGTCCACCCATATGACGCAATCTCTTAATGGCAGAGATGACAGATTGCTTGTTGTTGTGGGAGTTCAAAGAGAATTCAGTTTGAGGTCTTTCACCATACTGTACCAGAGCCACACGAACTTGGTCAGGTCGTACATCTAGCTGATCAACCACTTTCAAGATAAAGTCACGAATGTGAGCAACACCGCTTTGTCCAACACTGTCAGAGCCATCAATGAGGAAGATGATGTCCTTTCTTCCAAGATTGAGTGGGACTGGTAAGAAATAAAAATGAATACATTTACTAATAAATTTATGCATGATCTATTAAAGTTATGTGCGTGTATAAAAGTAAACATGACATGACTAAATTTGGCATCAAATGCTCTGCTAATGTGGATTAACCTTAAAATAATGTTTTTAACACAACCAGAAAATGTGGCATACCTTTAGGCACAGTGGGGGCCACAATTTCATCTCTGGTCATGGTACTGACTTTGGTTAAAAGCTCTTGCTCCACTCTTGGAAGTTGCTGGAAGTCTCTAATGGTGTATGTTAGTTCTGGACTAAAGGAAATTAATTTTAACTCCTCTTCATCAGCATTATGAGCGCCAACTGCTAAGGGAGCAACGCGGCTTGACTTGAGTTGGTTAGCAGGGCCAGACACATCATCATTTGACTTTCCTCCGGTTACCAAGATGAGAAACTGGGGCACACCCTCTTCTACACGGCTTCCAGCTGATCTTTGATAGATGTTCTTTGAAACATATTCCAGAGCTTGGCCAGTGTTAAGCTGATTGCCACCTTTGCTTCTCATTCTTCGTATTGCCTGGCGAACTTCATCCTTAGTGGAGTGCTCATTGAGAAGAAACTCCAGATTGGGATCATCACTGTACTGCACAACTGAGACTCTCACATTGTCAAGACCAACATCTAACTTCTCCACCACTCGCTGAACCATGTCTCTTATGGCAGGGAACTCAGTGCGCATCTTTGTTGTGCCATCAATAAGGAAAACAACATCCCTTTTATCTCCGCGAGGTACTGGAATTACAGTCTCTATGTTTTGAAATAAAGAGATGAAAATAAAAAAACATATAAAAATAAATATAACAATAACCATAACAATAATAAATAGATCTTAATTAATACACAAATGTACCTTACAGTCTGACCACAGGATTCACAAACAGTGGTGCAAATTTTATACCAAATTATCAAATTCTTTAATTATTATTTCTACAGAATGACAGGTATATTCAATTAGTTTAAAAAAATGACTTTATCAACTGAAGATGTTTTGCTGCTCTGAGTTACTTTACACTTGATGGGATGATGTAAACACTTGTTCAATTAATATCTTTACAGAATTTCTAAGAGCAGCAAGAATAAGGACACAGACTTTTTCACAGACTATGCAAAAATGTTAGCCAGTCATAACAGTGAATGTTGAAGACTTAAAAGGAGGCAGCAAAACTGAGCATTTTATTCATATAGTTAGAGACAGGGTGGAAAATGGTCATGTATTACTAAATTATGACTGTGAATATAAACAGACTTAAAGGAATATAATAAAACATATGTCATGAACACTTTCAAACCTTCACAGGCATATTTTTATGCTGTCACTGTTGAAAAGACCAACATAGCTAGTGATATACATTTTGCATTTTAGATGCTGTTCTCAGCATAGAATGCTGGTGTTTCTAGCAAGTTTCTTAATTAGGTTAACAACAACAAGACATCCTTGGTCAACCAGCAATAACTGACAGATATGCTGGATAACCAATTTCACAAACCACCAGCTGGACCAGCATTAACAAAAAATAAGATGGGAATGGAAATTATGCTGGCCTTTTCAGCAGCATTACCACATCAACCAGAAACCCAATTATGAAAGGATTGCAGTTACCTGTAGGGTACACAGGGCGCAATTTGGCTAACTCCTCACTAGATAGCTCTGTCAGGGTGGTGATGAGTGTGTCCTGAATTGTATATAGTCCAGGCAAGTCATCAACTGTGTAGGTAAATCTGGGGACATAGGATGTCACTTGCAATTCCTGAGTGTCCACGTCTCTTGTTCCTATGCTAAGGGGGATGACTCCTGACTGTTTCAGTGCTGTTGCATATGGTCTTATATTGTCTGTTGCTTTTCCTCCTGAAACCACAACAACAAATTGTGGAACTCCCTCCTGTTTCCTTCCACCACGTCTAGAAGTCAGAACTTCACGACTAACAAAGTCAATGGCCCGTCCAAGGTTACGCTGTCTCCCCCCTCGCTGTCGGAGTTCCTTAATGCCATTTAGAACACCTTCTTTGGTCCTGTGTGAGTTGAGGTATATGTCTGCATATGGTGAATCTCCATACTGCACCACGCCTACTCGGATCTTGTTCTCGCCAACATTGAGGGTCTCCACAACTCTACGCACAAACTCCTGGATAATTGGGAACTCTCTACCAACACCTTCAGAGCCATCAATCACAAAGATGATGTCCTTCTTAGGTCCTTCGGACTCTGCTAAAACAAAAATAAAAAAGATCTGATTTAATATAAAATGCTGCTGGCTGGATGAGGGCCAGTCTGTAAAACACACCCAACAACAACAAGACAGGAATATAATTACAAACAGTACAACCCTTTGTTCCTGGTCAGTGAACATAACTAATTTCCACTTGATTCCACCACCTAAAGGTAAGACATTGTATCAAAAAGTTTTGTATCATCATTCTGTATTTTGTTTCCACCTGGAATTCCCAGATGTGCAAGATCATTTTCAAATGAATTTGATACACTGCAACCATGATACATTGTAGCCTTGGAAAGCAATCATAGTAACACAAAGATGTTGCAATGCAATTCTAACAAATTCAGATTTTTCAGATTTGAATGGGGGAAAAACAAGCAAATTAAAGTGCTTATTCACATCCCCCACTCCTGATTTGCCTTAATTCATTCTTAAATACATTATAGACAACTATTAGAAATTCTAGAAATAAAGAAAGAAAACATAAAAAATCAAAATCAAAATCAAAATCTGAATCTGCAAAACACAGACTGAGGTACACACATTTAATATAAAATCTGATCTCTCAAAAAGCACTAAAAAATCAGTAACTGCATGGAAAAAATTACACAAACTACAAACCACTGTGAATATTAAAGGAAGAAAAGATATGAATAAAGAAATACATGTAAAATTTGCCATACAACACCCACTGGTATGAGGATGTGTGATGTTCTAAAAGAAGCACACTGTCATATGTTCACTCAGGTCATATATTTGCAGGGTAGTTGTCAAGGTGCTGCAAGGAAGCTGTATAATGGTTCTTTGTGACTGAAGTAAAAGAACCATACCATTGTCTCTATGACATTATGGTCCATAGATACAATGTTGGACCATCCACTAGTGAAAGAGTAGAAATTCTGGCTCATTTTGTTGAAGCAAAAGAGAACAGTATCTCCTTAACAAGCCACAGACTTTTAGGTAAAATTCAAGTTTTTAGCATGTTAAAGCATAAAATATGCAAAAAATTGTAAACACTTCTGGAGATACTTACCTTAGCAGACACCATAAAACTTAAAATGAACTATAGCAAAAATGTTTAGTAAATTTCTTACCTTTTACTGTAGTAGTGAGGTGTGTGCGCTCTAAAAGTACTGTGTTAATGTTAGTGAAAAGCTGCTGTTGGACACTGGGAAGGTCAGCAAAGTCACTCACTGAGAGTGCATAACTAGACTCATTGGAGATCCTCTGGAGTTCCCTGCTGTCTGAGCTCCTTGACCCTATCCCAAAGATAAGCACTCCCAGCTCCTTCAGGGATGAGGCCGGTGTGTCAACATTATCAAATGACCTTCCACCACTCAGCAGAATCAGTAACTGAGGCACACCTTCTACACGTCTGCTTCCAGAGGAGGCAGTGAAGATATTGTCCCTCACGTACTGCAGAGCTGCCTCTGTGTTGAGGGGTCTCCCTCTTTTGTGCCTCAGACCCCTGACCATGTCAAGCATGTCCTCCTTTCGCGAGTACGTGTTAAGATAGAAATTGGCCTCTGGATCTCTGCTGTACTGGACCACGGACACACGGTCTCTGTTCTCAGACACATTCAGTCTCTCCACCATCCTTTCAACAAAGCCGCGCATCACAGGGAAAGAGCTCCTAGTGCCATCTGAGCCATCCAGCAGGAACACTACATCCCTCCTTCGCTCAGCTATGGGTAACGAAATGGAACACAAAGTCACGTGAGCAATCGGCATTTGATATTGTCTGTAGGTGTATGCATGCTCTGGTCGGCAACTGCAAACGGGAAACAGCTCTCCTGTCCTTTAAGTTAATTTACAATCAATACAATGGCCAAACTTTAGTCCCGTCTGCTATACTAACACCTCATTTTGGTCAGAGTAAAACTGCCTAAATTTAATGAATACGAGGCCGTGAAATAAGGTCTAAATTTGAAGGATATATTGGTCAAAAGACAAAAACTTTACCTAAAACAAACCAAAGAGCGAACAAACAAGCTCTTTAAAACTTAACAGTGCCTAGAGTTCAAACCCTTGGCTTTTTAGCTTAATTTCCCATGGCTCTGCTAACACGCAATGCTAACGTAAACTGTTTCGTGTCTACGGCAACCTTTGCAAAGAAGGGCTCAGTGTGCTGTTTTCTAGAGACGTGTGGGAATCTGTCTTACCCGGCCCAGTAGGTGTCATCGGCCTGACTTGTCCAAGCACGTTGTTTAAGGAGCTGATAAACTGCTGCTGGACACTGGGAATGTCAGAAATTCATTGATGGATTGTGCATATGTAGGATCATTGGCAATTCTCTGCACCTCTCTGCTCGAATTTATGGTGCCGATGCCAAAAATCAAGATCCCGCTCTCTTTCAGGGTGGAGGCAGGTGTATCTATGTTATCGCTTGACCGCCCTCCACTGAGGAGGATGAGAATCTGAGGGACACCCTCTTGCCTTCTACTCCCAGCAGAGGCGGTGAAGACACTGTCCATCACGTACTGGAGAGTTGCCCCTGTGTTGAGGGGTCTCACTCCTCTATGCCTCAGACCTCTGACAGAGTTCAAGATCTCCCCCTTTGTTGCGTAGCTATTCAGATAGAAATGGACCTCAGCGTCTCTACTGTACTGCACCACAGAAACACGGTCTTTGTTGGACTCTGTGTTAAATTGCTCCAGTACTTTCTGCACAAAATCACGCATTGCTGGGAAAGAATTCCTAGTGCCATCTGAACCATCAAGAAGAAAAACTACATCCTTTCTGGGTGTGGTGTAATCAGCTAGGAGGGGGGAAAACAGCATCATTAACACCATGTAATATCGATAACGTTCATTAACCTTCAGAATGTCATATCAGTTCACCAACTCATTAACAGTCTAAGCTCTGGTTAACGGTCCCACTGCTCCCAAAAATAAAAAAGGGTAGGGGCATTAAGTAGAAAGACGAGACACAGATTACTTTAAAGTTCTGCCATGCACATACCGGTAAAAGTTGGTGAAGTTGGAGTGACAGGAATTTGAACAGCCTGGACAGAGGCCAGCAGCTGCTCTTGGACATTTGGAAGCTCACTGAAGTCGGACACGGTCAAAGCATAATCGGTGTCGTATGAAATTCTCTGCAATTCTCTGCTATCTGAGTCCCTGGATCCTATTCCAAAGGTCAAAACGCCAAGCTCTTTCAGAGAGGAGGCTTCTGCCTCAACAGTGTCAGATGACCTTCCCCCGCTAAGCAAAACCAGTATCTGCGGCACACCCTCCAGCCGCCTGCTGCCGGAGGAGGCAGTAAAGACATTGTCTCTGACGTATTGGAGAGCTGCCCCCATGTAGAGGGTTCTGCCTCCTTTGTGCCGCAGACCTCTGACAACATCTCTCCTCTGCCTATGGCCCTCAGCTAAGAAATAACATTCATGGGTCAGATAATGGACATTGTAAGGAAAAAAATAAGTATATTGCATTACACAGTTGGTACTTTGTTATTAATCTTGCTTTCTGTCTTTTTCGATATCATGTCACCTCCCATTATGTTTTACAACTCAGGAAGAAATACTTTTGCTTCTGCAACTCATTAGGACTACAGGAACAGTAAAGCACACGTCACTACTAACATAAAAGCTGAGAGGAAGTAGAGGAAGCAGGTTTGGCTTTTTCTTACCTATCATTGTGGTAATGATAGACGTGCCCTCTACAAAGGCTGTGTCAATGTTGCTGAAAATCTGCTGTTGGACACTGGGAAGGTCAGCAAAGTCACTCACTGAGAGTGCATAACTAGACTCATTGGAGATCCTCTGGAGTTCCCTGCTGTCTGAGCTCCTTGACCCTATCCCAAAGATAAACACTCCCAGCTCCTTCAGGGATGAGGCCGGTGTGTCAACATTATCAAATGACCTTCCACCACTCAGCAGAATCAGTAACTGGGGCACACCTTCTACACGTCTGCTTCCAGAGGAGGCAGTGAATACATTGTCCCTCACGTACTGCAGAGCTGCCTCTGTGTTGAGGGGTCTCCCTCTTTTGTGCCTCAGACCCCTGACCATGTCAAGCATGTCCTCCTTTCGCGAGTACGTGTTAAGATAGAAATTGGCCTCTGGATCTCTGCTGTACTGGACCACGGACACACGGTCTCTGTTCTCAGACACATTCAGTCTCTCCACCATCCTTTCAACAAAGCCGCGCATCGCAGGGAAAAAGCTCCTAGTGCCATCTGAGCCATCCAGCAGGAACACTACATCCCTTCTTCGCTCAGCTACGGGTAACGAAATGGAACACAAAGTCACGTGAGCAATCGGCATTTGATATTGTCTGTAGGTGTATGCATGCTCTGGTCGATAACTACAAACGGGAAACAGCTCTCCCGTCCTTTAAGTTAATTTACAACCAATCCAATGGCCAAACTTTAGTCCCGTCTGCTATACTAACAGCTCATTTTGGTCAGAGTAAAACTGCCTAAATTTAATGAATACGAGGCCATGAAATAAGGTCTAAATTTGAAGGATATATTGGTCAAAAGACAAAAACTTTACCTAAAACAAACCAAAGAGCGAACAAACAAGCTCTTTAAAACTTAACAGTGCCTAGAGTTCAAACCCTTGGCTTTTTAGCTTAATTTCCCACGGCTCTGCTAACACGCAATGCTAACGTAAACTGTTTCGTGTCTACGGCACCCTTTGCAAAGAACGGCTCAGTGTGCTGTTTTCTAGAGACGTGTGGGAATCTGTCTTACCCGGCCCAGTAGGTGTCATCGGCCTGACTTGTCCAAGCACGTTGTTCAAGGAGCTGATAAACTGCTGCTGGACACTGGGAAGGTCAGAGAATTAATTGATGGACTGTGCATATGTAGGATCATTGGCAATTCTCTGCACCTCTCTGCTCGAATTTATGGTGCCGATGCCAAAAATCAAGATCCCGCTCTCTTTCAGGGCGGAGGCAGGTGTATCTATGTTATCGCTTGACCGCCCTCCACTGAGGAGGATGGGAATCTGAGGGACACTCTCTTGCCTTCTACTCCCCGCAGATGC